TGGCTCCCGCCATCAGAGCTTAGATCCAAAATTGGCTCACGTCATCAAGGCCTTCTCCTTCGTTTTTACCTTTAAAAGATCCATTTACAGCAAACAACGTTCCCTGAAATGGCACAGAGAACAAGACAGCCTGAAACAAAATCGAAACCCCGTACTCGGGTCCACATTGAGTCGCCCGACCAATTCAGGTTCCATATTGGGAAAGATGCCCGTAGTAACCTGGATGTTCACATAATTGGGTCAAATTGGTCCTCACGTCAGATTGGCTAAGACCCGTAGTAAGACCTGGATTTCCCGTAATTAGATTGCATTGGGTTGACCGGCCAATTCAGGTCTCATATTGGATAAGAGTCCAGTAGTAACCTGGATGTTCCCGTAATTGGGTCTGCATTGGGTTGCCCAGCCAATTCAGGTCTCATATTGGGTAAGAGGACACGGATTGGATTCTCGAAATTGGATCCAATTGGCTCTTCGAACCCGTCGTGTGAATTGGTCCTTCTCTTCCTACTGACTCCTGTTATTGAAATTGAACGGAGCATTTCAGTATGCCCCGGCTGACTGTAACGGGGTGACTGAACCTGGCCACTCAGTATTTGTACAAGAGTTGGTCGTTGCTCCCAATATTCGAGGTAACTGAATATTAATAAAATTCTCGTTTCTTTTTATTTTCACTATATACTCGTGTTACAACACGACAACGGAATGGGTGAATCAAGTTTTGGATCAGTATTTGAGGTGTATAGTCAATTATCATCAAGATGATTGGATAACTTTTTTGCCATTGACAGAGTTTGCATACAATAATTTGGTACATTCTTCTATTCAACAAACACCTTTCTTTGCCAATTATAGTTATCATCCATGACTTGATATTTTTGACTTTTCAAAAGTTGATAATTGTACAGTGAAAGATTTAGCAAATTGTTTGTTAGAGCTACATACAACAATGAAGACACAATTAAAAGAAGCTCAAGAATAACAAAAAATCAATGCGGATGCATATTACAAGGAGTAACCACAATTCAATGTAGGTGATAAAGTATAATTATTTCATCGCAATATCAAGACTACTTGTCCTTGAGATAAGTTGGACTATTGTAGCTTAGGATCTTTTCCTATTTGTGAAGAAATCAATCATGTTATTTATTATTTACATCTACCAAAGTTTATAAAGATCCACCCTATATTTTAGGTATTCTTTTTTGAGTCATATAAGATAGTGAATATCTTGGAAAGAAGACAAATGATACTTCTTCCTATAGAAGTGGATAATAATCAACAGTTCAATGTGGAAGAAGTCTTAAATACAAGGTGGCATTGAAATAGTTTGGAATATCTTATTCATTGGTATGGATATGATATTAGTGAATGCATATAAGAGCCATCAAAGAATCTTGAAAATGCAGCAAAGAAAGTTGAAGCCTTTCATCAACAACATCTATTAAAACTAAGATGAAGAATAGCAAATCTTTATCATAAAAGAAATAAGACCAAAGAAAGATAACACTCTATTTTCTATCTTTCTTTGTAGCTTTTGTGTATTTAAAGAGATGGAGAACCAACAACCTCAGATTCAACTCAAGAGCTTTCATTTATGGACTTACCAAACAAAACATTGTGATTGTCATAACCTTCAAGATGACAAAATTGAGATGAAGGTCCTCAAGAACAACATCTCTTTCCTTGAATAGATAGCAAGATACAACGTGTTTGATATCATGACCTCAAAAGAGACTCTCGATGTTTGGTGATTTTATTAGAGGTAGGAACAACTCCTAACGGGGTTTCAAATATTTTATTTGAAGGAAGTTATGAAGGCCTCAACAACAATCAAATAATAGGGTGGTCTTCTTGCTTTGGTATGGAGCAATATCAATTGCTGAGAGGACCTATCAACTATCTTTAAAGAGAACAAAGATGAGAATATGTGGCAAGTATAATTAATTACATCTTGAATTTTCTCAACATATGAAGACTGCTTCTTGTAGAACTTGTATGTAGAAGGAGGGGTAATATCATGAACATATATAAATATTCTAGTAAATAGTTATATGATTAGGTAGGAATAGATAAAAGTAGATAAAAAGAGATTAATTTATAAGATCTTTCAAAAAAACTTCCTAGAAGCTTCATAGATGCTGCTTGACTTTATATGTGTTTATAATTAATTGGTAGGTTAAAAATTTGTTCAAAAACTTAACCACATGTTGGTAGCTTGCGAAACAAGCTAATTATGTGGCGCTTATATAAAAAACTTGTCTTGCAAGTTAAGATATGTATCTTGTAAAGTCAACACATTTTAGAGGTCTTATAGGAAATTGCCACACAGCTCATAGTTAAGAGTATATATGGAGGCAAGAGTGAAGCCTTCTTCACTCTTGTCAATGCCTTTCTAGTCCTTAGTCTTGTTTCAAGACTTTCTAGTCTTCTTGTTTTTGGCAATAGCCATTCTAGTTTAATATTATATCCTCTTTGATTAACTTCTAGTTCCTTTCAGTGATACAAGAGTGAATTGAGGATTTTCTTTTTACAAGATTCATATCCTTGACATCCATATATTTATTTATTTTTATATTTTTATATAATATTTTAGAATTTCTAACTTATAATTATTATTATAGATATAGATATAGATATTCATGAATTCAAAAGGCAAGTATTATTTAAATTAAAATTATTGGTAATTGATCTTGAATAATTTCATAGCTATATCATATTTTGCAAACATCTTTCAAGCTTGAAAATAAAGTCACATACAAAAGTACCAATACAAATCAAATATCTTGGTCGTTGATAATTTTAAATGCCTAACAACTTCATTTACATTAAATATCTATCTACTACCTTGGACTTGATTGAAAATATCCAAAAATAAATATTTTGTAATAATTTTGTAATATTCAAAACTTAATTGATATTAAATTTATAATATATGCATATATATATATATATATATATATATTAAAATTTTATTATGTTGAAATTTTTTAAGTGTGATTTGATTTGATTTGTTGTTATTTATTCTTTATATTTAAAATTAAACATAAAAACTAACCTTATACTTCTTAATTCTAATTCTTTTTATTTTTTCTTTATCTTGACATCAATCATTCATACTTGAAGTGGCAGTTAGTGTCCTAAGCACCCATTTATACCTGCAAGTGTGAGAAATCTAAGCACATCATGTTGTCATGGAAAGAGTTTTTATACATCTTTGTGAGGATGATCATGCAGCATGTATGGGATTTCCTTGGATGTCGCTGTGGCTTGCACCCTCATTGAGTTTGAGTGATGCTTGGATGTCTTCAATTTCTTCAAAGAAAACCTGAAGCTCTTGATTCAACCTCCTCCCCTCAAGACAATCCCAATTCATGACTGTGAATGTGACACAACACCAACAGTGTTGGAACTGAGTGTTTCAGCACAAATGATGTGCATAAATTAACCCACCAAAGTCACGTCCCTGTAGATCCAACCTTCTTTTTCTTATCACTTTTTTTTTCTTTTCAACACAAATTCTTTGGCTTTCACCTTATGCTGACAAGCTAGATAAGCTGCCTCTTATAGCATCAAATTTCCACAGTTGCTACATAACCAGTTTGAAACCATGCTCTAGACAGGCCTACTCTTTCATGATGCGCAGCAAAATTATTCAAGAGTTACTGCTTTTTGGATGCACATTATTGTAGATTTACACAAAAGACTTGAGAGTAAGGAATTGCAGTGTTGTTTGGCTGGGTGTGAATCTGCTTGGGCTGAAGAGCCCACTGATTGTGTCCAGCATGTGGCAATCTGCTCCTGCAAGGTTATGACATTAGCTCAGTGGACTAGACAGCACTCACAGTACCCAGAGCGGTTGATTAATGCTTGTGGGTGTTGAATTTCTTTCCAACTATTTACCAAACTTTTCTATCATGTATCACAATTTACTACAGAAAGCAAGGATTCCATTCTTCATGTGTGAACAGAATTTATCAGAATCCGAACATAATACACAAATTCTGGTCACTGCAAAACCATGTTAGAAAGCATGGCAAATTCACTTCCTTTTTGTCCAATTTTTCTGCATGTGTTAAAATTGTACAAAATAGTTGGTAATGTTGGATGATTAAGTTTGTCCTTGTAGCATGGCCAGATCTGGAGCCGCAATCGTGGGACTTGAATCCCATTTGCAGCTCTCATGTGCACATTCTGTCCTGGGTTGCTGTGGGTTTGTGACAGTGGCCATTGATAGAATATAACTCCCGCAATACAGCCCATTAAACTGCTTTGAATGATCTGCACGTTATCTGTATCATACTTGCTCCAGTGCAGTTCTATGCAAGTTTTTCAGAATGGACTCATGACGAACTTACATTTTGTTTTAATTAAATTTTTTCGCTTGTGTTGGCTGGGTTTAAACTCTATGAACTTTCTAGCATTTCTGAACGCCGTTCACAATTCTCGCACTCTCCACAATTTCTGCACTGTTCTATACAGATATGGCACGCAGCATCACGAATTCAGCGCTTTGAATCCTTCGAGCATCTTTTTCCTGCTTTAAGAGCATCTGTCTGTGACAAACAATCGAGTGCTTCATTGCGTATTTTACTTCCCGACTTCGTGAAAGATTTTTCCGAAGTGCCATTGATACCAACTCATAAAGCAACCGTCAATAGCGTACCGCGTATACTCTTTAACTCCTAGATGACAGATATTCACTATTATTATGCACATTTTTATCAAAAGAAGATCTCTACAAAATTTGAACTCTGGGCATCACACCAAACTGGTGCTTCCTAGAGTAAGAAACATGTAAAGCGGTTTGGAATGAATACTCTGAACTCTTTCACCTGAAAATAAACCCAACTTTCTGCAGGAAGTTGAGAACGGAGTATGAAATTGAAAGTGACTTGTCATGTGAATGGAGAGAAGACTGTGCCCTGCGTGCTCAGTCCGGTGGGGGGGGATAATAATGAATCCGTCTGGAAGGACTGAACCAGCTGAAAAAACGGTATGAAATGGTCACCGTGTCCCAAAGGAGCCAACTGCCGAACCCATGCGGTGTTACCTCTAACTCTGCAGAGTTCTCCGAGACTAAGCAGGCCCCACCTCAAGCACATGCGGCTCCTCGGACAAGCAAGAGCGAAGACCTCACTTGGAGCTCGCCCGCACCCTGGTCAAGGTATGGCGAACTTTCACGATGAGTCTCCTGCCGTGTTAGAGTTAGAAACTTTCTGATCCCAACAAGCCGATATACAGACTGAAGTTGCCCGGTGGGGATTCGACGAATTGTAACGGGAGTTCCAGCAGCCAGTCCGAGGAACAGAGCTATGCAGTGTAGGTTAAATGCTGAAAGCGGTGTTGTGATCATTAAAACTAGCTGTTTGTAACGCCCTCTCAGCCTCCCATTAGTTAAGTGTAACTGAAGCAACCATTAATGCAAGTGACACCGACATGCCTGTAACGAAATAATGGAAGAAATTCGGACTTTGTTAGATTTTCGTGCCGGGCGTGTGCAGTGGATCTACAACGGTGGCCAAGATTAACGTTGCTGTATATCTACAGTTCATTGTCGGTACTTCTTTTCATTATCTCACTTATAAGGTATGAAGTATCTACGATACTATTGACTTACTCTCTTCTGCGGCAACGCTCTCTTGAATAATCTCCTGAAGTATGCCGATTGTGAATGCACCATGGTCATTCACCTCAAGTCAGTTCCGTGGCAAAAATTAAACAAAAGCAAAAAATAATTAGTCACATCGAAAACAACTGCATTTACTAACTTCAGGACTCCATCGTGAATAGATATCATAATTAAATGTGTGGGTTCTTAAGTATATATCCGACACAGTTTCTGACATTTTCATACTCCGCATCTTTGACCCCTGCAACACCATACTCACAGCGTGCTCTATCATTTGGGAAGACCCTGCTGAACATTGTTATGAATCCATCGTCCGGCCTGCAATCTTCTCCCAGTTTTTTTTGGTCACTTATGTTTCTCCCAAGTGTTTAGTCTTCATGGTTCGCGCACGCCTGAAACAAACCATAAAAGCTTCCAATGTTTTCGAGGGTATTGTCTCTATACTGTGGTGTGTCCGCGGATAAAAATTAGTTGACAGCTAAACTCCCCTTAGTGCAAATGGTCTGATCTCTTCTGTTCACATTTCATACAATATCTGCTTCAATGTAAGAAGCTCTATCACCAGATTCTGTCACACCGTGCAATGTCTGTATGTCGGCTCAATGCCATTGTAATCTGTCATTGGATCCCATTCTGAGCTTGGTTTCACTTGCAGGAAATGGAGTATCAGAGGCGCAGGTCGAGGAGCCTTCTCTTAGATGTCTGCATCCTGTTGCTACTTCCGTGGGTAGTCATAGCGCAGAAGAAAACGCCTGCTATTTTTATTTTCGGTGACTCGTTATCTGATGCCGGCAACAACAATTACATCCGGACGCTCTCCAAAGCTGACTCTCCACCAAACGGGATGGATTTTCCAGGGGGTTATGCCACTGGAAGATACACGAATGGACGCACCACTGTGGATATCATCGGTAAGCCGACGAATCACCTGCAAAAAAAAAAAAAAGAAAAAAACTAACTAACAAGAAAAAAGAAAACAAGGAAACAAGAAAAATCCTTGAAATTCATCAGTTCCAATATTAGTCTCAGGTTGACCCACACATCGCACGACGCTGCAGGCCAGCTCGCAGGACTCAAAGACTTTCTCCCACCATACTTGGCCCCAAACGCCACCGGGAGCCTGATCCTCAACGGCTTGAACTACGCATCTGGAGCTGGCGGCATTTTAAACTCCTCTGGCTACATTCTGGTTAGTAAATGAATTGAATGCTCAAGGCATACCTTGCTCTAGAAATGAGTAAACTGATGCTATTGTGAGCCTTACATGGTTGTTTGATGTTTCTGGTATGCTAGTATGGGCGGATCTCATTCAACAAGCAGTTGGAGTATTTAGCAAACACCAAGGGCCAGATCATCGCGCAGTTGGGAGAGGAAGCCGGAATGGATCTCATTTCCAACGCCTTGTTTTCGTCCAACTTCGGCTCCAACGATTACTTGAACAATTACTAGCCCCTTTCTCCGATCGGCAACTTCACGTCTTCACAAGTTGCATCCCTGTTAGTGCGAATTTACCATGGGCAACTCACGGTACCCGTTCCTTCCTCTCAACCATACAGCAGGGCTATGTCAGATTAAGCTCTAGTCCCATGTTTTGTTCTCTTTCAAAGGTCAGTCCCATCTTATGTCCAATTGAACCATGTCCAGAGGTTGTACAACATGGGTGCGCGCAAGGTTGTCGTGGCGTCGGTGGGCCCACTAGGGTGTATTCCCTTCCAGCTCACTTTCCGGTTAAGCAAGAACGGAGAATGCAGCGCAAAAGTGAACGCTCAAGCAAAAGAATTCAATGCTGGAGTATTCGCCATGGTGAAGCAGCTGAACGCTGAACTTGCTGCGGCGAAATTTATCTATGCCGATGCCTACAAAGGTGTCCTCGAGATTATCCAGAACCCAGCCGCGTACGGTGAGGGACTGATTTATCCACACTTGGCACTAAGAACCTCGTAATACTGCAACTTTCAGTTCACCATCCTACGTTTTTTCTCCCTGGTTACCAGCACGATTATTTTTTATTTTTTTCCTAATGGTTTTCACAGGTTTCAAGGTTGTGAATGAAGGATGCTGCGGAGCCGGTGATTCATACAAGGGAGTGATCCCTTGCTCCAGCATCGTCCGGCTCTGCCCCAATCGGTTTGAATACCTCTTCTGGGATCCTTACCATCCTACTGACAAGGCCAATGTTGTATTATCCACCAAGTTCTTTTCGGGGACCGCCTACACCTGGCCCATGAACATCGAGCAGCTGCTCATGTCGTAAAACTCCTGCTACAAACTCAGCAATTAACCATAGCGCAGAGAACGAGTCATCACAATCAGCAAACAACGCGTAGCAGCGGCATAAACCTCTGGTCAACTTCGAATCGTCACAGAGCCGATTCCCTGGTGGGAATCATTCGTAGACTAAGAAAAAGGTCATCAGTCTGTTTGAAAACTAGCAACGGCTTTATAGGGAGTAGACCAACACCCGAGACTGTAATCGAGCAACACGATGGTGTCACCAGAGCCACGCCATTGACAAATACATATTTTTTTGCATGCATACATATCCACAACATAACAAGACTAGTATCCCGGCACTTAGACTTCTATCTAACATCCAGCAAAGCGTGATTGTAACCCACCCAGATGATGGAATTCAATCACCTCAAAACTCACCATTCTCACACCAATCACTTGCACTCTTCACAACTCTTTTGCAGTTTCGGTGTAACTTGCAGCTACAATCCTAGAATGTGATGTGAAGCAGATAAGTTGATGCTCTGATAGTTTGCCAATGAGAGCACTGCTCATGCTTGTGTTGTATTCCGTAAGCTACGTGGGCAGTCGAAGACTGGTTTGATATTCTTGAGTTGGTTTTTGAAGCATTTTTTCATGGTTTAGTAGAATTGAAACTATGAGTGATCAGGTGGGTACCATGTAATGCTTCTACACTCGCTAAACTTTCATTGAAATTGATGATGATGTTATTGAACTAGAAAAAGAGTTGATTGGAGTCTACAAGAAATGTTTCCAAAACCATAGATTGGTTTAGATTTGCATGCATTTTCATGCTGCTTGACTTTATATATATATATATATATATATTTATTTATTTATTTATTTATAAAAAATTTTATTTTTTGGTGTAAATTTATATAAGAATATAGCAAAAATAGTTATGTTTGAATCACATGCAACAAGATTTTTAAAAACAAGTTATAGATAATACACCAAGAATATTTAGTTAGATTGATGAATGTGACAATATGCAACAAGATTTCTAAAAACAAGTTATAGATAATACACCAAGAATATTTAATTTGATTGATGAATGTCACAAGATGACAAAAAAAAAAAAGAGAAAATTGTTGCTTATTTGATTTTAACACTAAATATTTTTTTGGCACCTCTGACAAAGATTTTCCATAATGACAATTATTGATATATTTTATATTTATATTCCACAACTTTTTTCTTGTTTCTTCAAGTTATTATGTAATCTAATAAATTCAAGACAATAGAAAAAATATATAAATAATTATTTTTAAATTAAATAATAATTTATAAATAAGTATTTTCTTACATCATTGAAATAAAAAAAATTTGGAAGTTTTAATTATAAAATTATTTAAAATAATCATTATTCTAATATTTATTTTTTAAAAACTAAAAAATACATATTATATATTAAATAAATATGTATTTAGATATTTCATTTATTTTTGTATGTATATGTATATATTGCATGAAATAAATATGTTTTCAATTATCTAAAATTTAAAAATATTATATACAAATATAAATAAAATATCTAAACATCTTTATTTATTTAATAAAAATATGTATTTTTTATTTCTATTAAATTTTATATAGATATTTAATTTATAGTTTATATTTATAAAAAATAACTATATATATATATATATATATATATCAGAGATATTATAAATCAATCAAATATATATATATATATATATATATATATATATCAGAGATATTATAAATCAATCAAATATATATATATATATATATATGCAACTAGCAATTATGAAATCCATAGATGCACCAGAATATATATATGTATATATATATAATTGACCCTCCGTTATTTGATACAGTTAGTAGACTATCAATTATATCAGATATTAGAGGATATTGAATTATAGAGAAATAGGTTGTGATTGGCTAACATGTGTAAGGCTTTGATTGGCCATTTAGTTATAAAGAGATGGATATTTTGGCTACTCTATTATATATAATATTTTATAATATCAATGATTGCACATCAGACTCTCTCTCTCTCTAGTCTTGGTTTTTTTGTCTCTTTCTTTCTCTCTTGCTCTCCGTTTCTCTATCTCTTTATCTTTCTTGCTCTTAGTTTTTTTATTTCTTGCTCTCTCCAATGTAGCTTTCTCCGTTTCTTTGTCTTTCTCACTCTCCATCTTTTTATTTTTCTTACTTTCTATCTCTTTGTCTCTCTTTCTTTCCAATCTCACTTTCTCCATCTCTTTCTCTTTTTCTCTCTCTATTTCTTTCTCTCTCTCTCTCTCTCTTCTTCTCTCTCTTTAGTCTCACTTTTGCTCTCTCTTCCATCTCTCTCGCTTTCTCTCTCTCCTTTCTTTCTCTTATTCTCTCTTATTGCCATGCTCTATTTAATATGTCAAAAATACTTACGAATGTTCAAAGGCTCAAAGTCTGCTAGAAAAAGGGAGCTAATTCATTGATGAATCAAAAGAATCTTATAGCATAGATAGTAGATCATTTCAATCTCCAAAAATATCCATTGTAGAGTACTATCACCTAAATCTTCAATAAGCCTAAGGAATATGAAAGCCTCAACCTGTTTGCACTTTCTACAAGATGCCAACAACTTCTAATATATGAAGACTTAGATGAAGTGTAGGCTAATTGGATATTTTAGTGTCAACATTGGGATATTATATTCACCAATAGACTAATATAAGAGAAAAGGAGTAAGTTTGTAATTCTTATGAGCATTGCAAATCCTCCAATATTCTCTAATAGCTTGGTATAAAAGTTCAAGCAGTGACATGGATTCCAAACATTTAAATTGTACAAAGAAGTTGCTCCTACAAATATTGCTATAATTAAGGCATTACTTCTAAAGTTGAAAGTAAAGGTTAAGCAATATATTTTACAAAACATTTACAACATGAACGAAACTAGGATATTTTATGGTCTTTCTCTAATAAAACGATTGCTAATAGTCAAATTACAAGCATGAAACATAATAAGACAAGGAATACCATTGCTTTAATTCTCAATATAAATAGCTCAGACAAGTTGGACTCCTTTTATATTGGCCATGTATTGAAACTTCTTGCTTTCAAAAAAAATCAATGAACAATTTGGTTTTTATTACCATGCAAATAAAAAAAGCATGGATGATTGATCAGTTGATCCAAAGATGGTTGAAGAAAGTTGAAAATAAAATAGGAGATGAAAACCAAAAGATTCTACTAACTTATTAGATAGTGTAGGCAAAGAAAATGAAGAAGGTAACCTTGGAGAGACAATCATCAATGACAAATTATCTTCAACAATATAGCAACTAAACATTCGCAACTCAATATCTATTGAAGCACTTTTCAATCTTGTAGGAGAAGAAACTATCCATGAATGGTTCAAAAATGAAGAACTTGTTGAGATAGTACTAAGAAATGAAAATGATGTTGATGATATTGATGAACTAGAAGAACAAGAACAAGAAATAACATCCAAAGAGATGCTCAACGTTTGCCAAAGATTTATTAAGATCTTTGACCTTTTGATTCCATCCCATCTTACAATCCATAATATTGCTTGGCAAATTCAACACTCACTAAGAGGCCAAAAAAAACACTAAACTTCACTCAATTCTTAGCTTCAACTCCAATTATAATTATTTATTGATATTATCTATTATTTATATTATAGAATCTAATAATTATTTTTTATACATTACAATTATTATTGACCTTCATCTACACCCTCTATAAAGGTTTTAGGGTTTAGGTTTTAGGGTTTCTAAACTAAAGAATATTGATTAGGAATATAGGAATACAATTGATGGAGCGTGATTTGTATTGGATATTGGAGGGTATCGGCTTACAAATGATCAAATAATAGAGAGTCAACTATATATATATATATATATATATGCATACATTTCTTTCTATCATATCTATCTGATGTAATAGAATTTAAATTACAATAAACATGGTATGGTGTACCACTTAACTTGAGCCTATATCACATTTAATACATTTTGAACATAGCTCTAATTTTTTAACATTTACTAAAAATTTATAACTAAATTAAATGTAAACACCATACAAATTCCTTTCATTACCATTGTTATTATATCCTAGGAAAAAAAAAATACTGCAATTACTATTGTGAAAACCAATCAGACATTGAGACATATAGAGAGGGAGCCAAGCAATCCCCATTTTTAGGGTTAGAGAGGTCGGGGAACGTGTCCGAGAACAGAGGGCACAATGATGGGAACTTGAGAACGAGAAAGCACTGAACCTCAATCCACACTCTCTTGCTCTCGGAGAGTGTGTTGCAATCCGTGGTTTTGGGGGCATGACTCAATTCCCCACGACAGGATAATCTTGTAAACAACTTGTGGGTTGTCTTCGTTGTTTAGTTTTTTGTATAGTCAGGGGGTTTTGTTTTGTTTCACAAAAGTTTCTGGCTCACGATGAGATAGTTGGGAGCTTGTGGGGAAGCCAAGGGCTAATTCGGTGGGCGTCCATCATGGGTCATGTGTTGCGGTGGTCGGTGTTGAGGTTTAGGCTCTGCGATGGGCAGTTTCGGTTTACTACTCTTTCTCATTCTGCTTTTCCCCTCTTATCCCACCAATTTGTGGCAAAACCCAGGTTGGAGAGGGCAAGCGGTGGCAGAGCTGTGAGAGCCATGGTTTTTGAGCCTAGAGTGGAGTTCCATGAGAAGAGAAAGGGTTGTCTTTCTGGATTTAGGAGCTTTGGATCACGGAGCAGCCACTCACATCAGGCAGTGAGTGCTGTCGAGGATTTTGGTGGAAGTCGGGGTTTTGACTCGGATAGCGAGGGTTTAGATGAGGAGGATGATGGTAGAGTGTATGAAGCTGGGGACGATTACATTATTGTGAATTTTTATCATTTTGTGAATATTGAGGATGCTCACGCGGAGGTTGCTAGGCATACTGCGTTCATGGAGGTGAGGCACACCAATCCGCTGTGAATCCTACTCTACTTGCGACAATGCAGCCGTGGTTTGAGTCTTGCGCCTAATTTTTTCCGGTTTTATTGTATCAGTTAATGATGAATTTTTTTCTTTTTGAGCGTTTTTTTTCTTTTTAGGATGAGATAAATGCGTCCGGGTGCGTTTGAATGGATTGGATTTTGCAAAGAGCATTCTTTGAGATATAGTGCCTGCAGAATTTGTAGCACAGTGGTGCTTCAAGTGGGTTGCACCTGTTTATCAGCCTTTCTCGAGTTATTTACTGACGCTCGGTTATCACATTGGCCCCTTTGTCCACGTTCGGCAGAAGATTTTTACTCCTCTCTGATGGATTGAAGTATTGAACGGCATACTTTGTGATACTATGGTCTTAGGGTGCACATGGTTTAGTGAAGTGGTAACAGATGGTGGGATAGGCTGCAGGGTCGCAACATTCGAGGGCGAATATACATCAATTTTCAAGGCATCAATGCGCAGGTACAGCCTCTGCACTTGAGAATATATATTTTAGAGTAAAGTGACATTCTAGCTGTGTGTTACTTCAAGTGTGGCCACCTCCTGCTTGAGTCGAATGCTCTTGTGAAGCTGTTGTGATGGTGCAATGGTGTAACTTGCAATTTACAATATTACAAATTTCCGGAAACGTTTTGTTTGCAGCTTAGTGGACCTAGAAAAGATGCCATGGATTATGCCAATTGGGTGAAAGAAGACGAAAGATTTGCACCGACATACATTCAAGTCTCTCCATCTCCACGTGGCCATGCTTTTCCCAGACTGAAGCTTCGGTATAAGCCATCATTAGTCCAGGTTAGCAAGCTTCACTCTCTAACTGATGATCATATCATTACTTTCCGTAAACACCGAATAATTCTTGTTTTTACAAAAACAAAGTTTTTATCTCTTTCTTTTTCTTTTTGAGGCCATGGTTTTTTATGGTGTTTAGAGGTGCTTGATTTGGAACAAGAATCCGCCATTTTGTAGGTATGTGAAGACAGCGATAGTCTTCCGCTTACAGACCCTACGGCAAGAGCTGTGCCGCTAACTCCTAAGCAGTGGCGAGAGAAACTTGAGAAGCGCCATGACGCACTCACGAAAGGTGCTGGAGAAGTGAGTAATCTCGAAAATGTGAAGAAAGTTCTACTTCTGGATGTGCGCAATAGTATGTTCTCTTATCATCCTTACCCCCTGGTTTGCGACTTATCGTTTTCTTTGATTAGGGTGTCAATAGTCACCTACTTGCCAATATTCAAAATTGGCAGTCACTCAATAAGCTGGTTTTACTTGGAATCGAAACTGAGATTGTGCAGATTTTATGAAGTCAGTACTTGAATGCAGAGATTTTCTGGAGTATAATTGGAAGTTGTTTAATTCTGGATATCTCACAATGGTGCAGGGTATGAGTGGGATGTGGGTCATTTCCAAGGAGCACAACGACCAGAAGTGGAATGCTTCAAATCTACAGAATTTGGTCTATCAGACGAGAAGGTATGGCTTGCGTTATCCTCACCATCACGAGCAGTCATGATCGTCCCGTATGATCAAAGCACGACAAATGACTTCGTGCCAGTTGCCCCTAATGTCATGATGAATCACTTCGCCTAATATTATTTGGTTTGAAATGAATTCAGGAGGTGGAAGCTGATCCATTAGCAGGAGTGGACAAGGAGAACACCGAGATTTTGATGTACTGCACAGGCGGCATTCGGTGTGATGTATACTCCACTATTCTCAGGTACACATCAGGGCTCTCCCACTATCAATCGCCTTCGAAGGGTGATAAAAATGGACGTACAACTCTTTCACGTTTGCCTTGTTTTGGGTGGTCGCTTACGTTGGTTTTTTTCTGCTTTACTGTCTTTGTCTTCAGAAGAGTAAGCATTTGCACGTTGACTTCTCTGTAGGAAGAAAGGGTTTAAAAACCTCTACAGCTTAAGGGGTGGTGTAGCAAAGTATCTTAAGGAAGAGGGTGCGTCTCAGTGGAACGGGCGACTTTTCGTATTTGATTCACGCCTAGCCGTTCCACCTGCTTTTTATCATGGTGAACCGGCAGCGGATGATACCAGTTCCTCGACCTCAGCTATAGCAAGATGCCTTACGTGTGGGAGTGAAGTTGAGCCTGTCCATCGCAACTGTGCCAATCTGGACTGCAATAACCTCTATCTGTAAGTTGAGATTTGACCTCCTTTCAAATATTGTTCTCTTACAACAATGTCTGCTGCAACTACCATCGCCTTCTGAGGATTTTAGACTCATGGTCATGTCTCTTCACTGGTCCCTTCGCTTGTGCAGCTCTTGTGCAGCATGCACCGCCAAACTTCGGGGCTGCTGCTGCTCTGAATGCATGGAGGCTCCCAGACTGAGGCCCGTCCTGGGACAAGATGAGACATATCAGCGATGGCACAACTACCGAGATCCACCTCCACCACCCCCTCGGCCTCCTGGTTGGGTTAGCCGGCGAGCTCTGAAGAGACGCAGACGTAAGGAGCGGCGTAAAGAAGAAGAGCGGCTCAAACACACCGGAGCATCAGAAGTTCACTGCTCTTCAGGTGGTGAATCCTCTTCAGAGCAAGCTAATCCCTCATTTGTCCACCAAGTATAGGACAAGTTCTTCTGTGTTTTTTAGAGACGCATAGATCAGTAGGATTAGACTGGTGATTGAACTCCATTCCGAGTTTCGTGGCGTCGATGAAACTAGCAACAACATTTCGAATCCTCTTGATTCATCCATGTTCTGCAATTACTGAATGGATTGAGTTTTTGTGGATCACGTCGTTTTTATTGGGAAAAGGAGCTGAAGGAACTGTTAGCTTTTTTACTGATTCAGACAGCAGACAAGAACTGGTACCCAGCCAGTAAATGTTAATGCTTTCATGAAAGATGGCTTTGTTAGATCATGCCCCACAACCGCAACCTCCACCTTGTTGCAGGCCTTGTTCACATCCTGAAAAGATTTTTCCAGTGCGAGACAAAGTCTCCTTAAACCTCGACACACAGAATCTTTTCTATTTTGGCATCATTTTTGCACCACAGATTTGCAAGAGAAAAAGTATTGGTCGGGGTACCACACCCTCACCATTTTTCTTTAGTCATTTGTTGTTGTTGGCCTTGGAAGTTGTAGGTTTTGCAAGTGTTGGTGGGTATCTTTTTAGGCACGTACACTCGGGAGTTCGGATTTTCGTTAAGAATTGACTCTTATGAGTATGTAGAATGTTCCTCCCACATTTTCTAGTCCATTTTTTACACCGAGTAAAGGTTGTTTCAAACTCCTATCATGTGCTTAAATAAATGTGGAACTTGTATATGCTATATTAACTTGTATATTGTTCATTACTCAATCTGTATGGTGGATTCCCCATATTCAGACTAAAAACAGTTGCGAGATGTTGAGATGAAGCGAATGTTGTGGTTATTTTGGAAACTGTTGAATTGTATTTTTTCACAAAATTCGATATTTGTTTCGTGTATATTTAATAAGAAAATGTGATTTCATTTGTACTGAACTTCTGAATTTGTTTCTTCTGTAGGATTTATTATTTGACAGAAATTAAGCACTTACTTTCGTTGTTGATATTGTCACAAGCTTTATTGATGAAATCATGCCGCTTAATGTTTTGTTTACTCTTCATTAACATACGGAGATGGAACACATGTTTTGTAATATGAACATACAAAATCAATTAACCATCCTTGCATATTTGTAGTTCAGTAATAACATTTGAAACAAAAGTAAATATACGAAAAAATAATAAATAAATAAATAAAAACTAATATTGTATCAAATTGTCAAACTAAATTCACTAAACCAAATCCAATACAACAACAAAGCATCATGCAATAACATGAAACCACCACATTGACTTCACATCGTAAAAGGATGCAAACGGCGAGAACCCAAACCACGAAAAACCTCATACTAATTCTCACCTGGCTCCAATTCCCACCCCATGAGAGCACGGATTTAGGAGCACGGACGAGGGAGGCTGATAACCGTGTTGAAGTTGTCTGAGCAGTAAGCCACGGGGATAGGGCATATTACCACGAAGAGGGGAAAGAGGGTGAGACTCATTTGCTGACCCACCTACTTTTACTTTTACTTTTACTAACGTACTGACTTTACTGACTGACTGACTAACTTACTGACTGACTGACTAACTTACTGACTCACTCACTCACATACTCACAGCCCCGACCGACCGACCTCGTCGTGGTCGCGGCGTTGGGCTTTAGCTGTTTTGGCCATCATCTTCGCCATTTGCTTCGTCGTCTCTCCGTCGCAACCCCAGTCCGGCGTTGCTGCCCTGGTTCCCTGCCTGCCTGCCCTCTTCGCCTATACGTTCACTGCACATGCTTCTCTGGCCTCTTGTCCCCGTTCCTGCTGCTGCTACCCGGGCCTCTCGCGCCCGCGTTTCTCTCTCCTCCTGCTTTTCCTTTCCGTGTGAGCGTGAGTAGAGTGCCGGTGGATGACCGTCGATTCCGTCGGTTGTTTCGCGTGCTCTTAGTTGTGTTAGAGAGAAGTGCTCGGTGACGGGGAATTGTTGGCGGTGGTTTAGTGTTCTCTGTGTTAAGGATTCGACGGGCTGGTAGTGTCGGGATCGTGCGGTGGATCGAAGGCCGTTGGGAGAATCGTTGTCGCTGTGTGAGTTTGTGGTGTTGGTGTAAGTAGTGCGGACCGCGCTAGGGTTTGAGGTGCTGTGTTGGACCTTTGGTGGTCGCGCCTGATGGCCTCTAAGCGCATTCTTAAAGAGTTGAAAGATCTGCAGAAGGATCCCCCGACATCATGCAGCGCCGGTGAGTCTTCGTGCCTCGGTTTTTTCTGGTTTTTATGGTGTTTTGTAATTTTTTAATAAAATAAAATCCCGTTTTCGTTTTGATTTAATTTTTTGTTTTTAAACTAACAATGGTATTATTGTTTTTGAGTTTCTGGAGTATGAATTGTAGTTTTCGTAGTTGTAGTGGTCGTTTTGGTTGCCATTTTGCCTGTAATGGCAACGTTGTCAAGCGCTCTGGAAGTCGACAAGGGCTTAATCGTCTTGGTTTTTAGTTCCGTAATTGTGGAAGAGTTGAAAGATCTGAGGAAGGGACCTCCGACATGACGCAGTGCCTGTGAGGTCCCGCGCTGCAGTCCTTCTGGCTTTTCTTGGTGCTCCTTAGTCTATGATTGTTTTTGTGGGTTTCGTGTTATGGTAGTGGTGATTTGTGTTGCCTTTGACCACAGTACTTTTGATGTTGTTGAGCCATCTCAAAGTTATCGTGGCTTGGTTCAATTGGTTCGTAGGTTGTAATTGTAGAGGTGGAAAACTTCTAGTGTATTCGACGTGGCTTACAAGCTTGTGATTTGTGGATTGATTTTCGTTGGTCGTTTTTGAAAGCGTTGGTGTGCATGGTTCTTGAAGTCCTTCTTTTGCTGGAAGTCTTAGTTTAAGTGCCTTTTTCGTACGAACTTTCATTTCGAGGCACATTATTTTATTGCCTTGCTACGCATACAATATCGTTATTGCACTTACACGCGGGTTTTTCGGGTCTGTTTTGTTCTTTTTGTGGTTTAGAGAGTTAGATTTTTTCCGGTTTTGATGCGGGCATGTGTAGAACGGAGGTTGTTGGTATGAAATATTCGAAAATCTTGGGCTTTGAAGTCTTTCCGAGATCACAGGACCTTAGTGTGTACGGGACGAAGTATTGATTTGACTTCGTGAGCTTTTCTTAGAAAGTTCGATGTTTGTTTCGTTCCAAATTGCTAGAGTTAGCAGTTGCTTATGTGTATAGCTCAGGAGGTGTATGTAATTTAAGCTCAGGCGTGGGATGTTATTACATTACGACACACCAATCTATCAATGGTAGATATGAATGGCGGTTTTACTCCTTGAAAATATAACGTACAATGTCTTACTTACTGGTGTCTGTCGACGTACACCAGGACCTGTGGCGGAGGATATGTTCCACTGGCAGGCTACAATTATGGGGCCTCCAGATAGTCCGTATGCCGGAGGCGTGTTTCTGGTCACCATTCATTTCCCCCCTGACTATCCATTTAAGCCTCCTAAGGTATGTTAAGTTGGTTGCGATGTAAGGTATCTTTTGGGCTGGGCTTTCGTTATGTTGAGCTTTAATTACGTAATCAAATGTATATCGTAGGGTTTCAGTTGATTTCTAGGTTATCCATTTCTCACTACTCTTCTTTTCAGTATGAAATGATAAGTCGGTTTATTCAGGAATTCTTTGTTATGTGCCCCAGGTTGCCTTCAGGACTAAGGTTTTTCACCCTAATATTAATAGTAATGGAAGCATCTGCCTGGATATTCTCAAGGAGCAATGGAGCCCTGCTTTAACCATATCCAAGGTGTGTTTCCCCTGCATGTTATCCGAGGTTTTCTGCCGCCATTCTTTATCTTTGTCCGCCAGCAGTTCTTTGTATGCATGTTGATAATCGCTGTGTTGAAATGATTGTAGTGGTGACTCTGAACCTTGTTAGATTTGTCACTGCTGCTGACTGGACGAGTTTTTCTGCTTTCCTTGGTCGGCTTCTGTGTGTCACAATTCCCACCTCGGTTGTGTGTATTCGTATTTGTCCACACTTTCATGCAATGGAACATGAATACATGTTCATTTATTTTATGGAAACCCTGGAGATATGATTTGATGGATCATACGGTTGTGTGAATTGTTACAGGTGCTTCTGTCGATTTGCTCCCTGCTTACAGACCCAAACCCGGATGACCCCCTTGTTCCAGAAATTGCTCATATGTACAAGACTGACAGACAAAAGTATGAGAGTACTGCCAGAAGTTGGACTCAGAAGTACGCAATGGGTTGAAGAGAAGTTGTGGGAGCAAAGCTGCTAGCATGTCGGTGTTTGACATATTGCAGCAATGAAGTTCATGTATCTGCATTCATGCTTTGACTGGGTGGGAGATGATTACTAGTTGGCCTTAAGAGTCCTGATGATGTTACTTGGAGTTTTCTTTTCTTTTTTCTTTTTTTTCTTCTTTTTTTGTCATTGAACCATGTCTATGTAGCAACATACTCGTAGGGGGTACTAAACGTGTGCTGAGAGCTTAAGTATTCAGATAAGTTTTGAACTGTTTGGTGCACTGTGTAGCATCTTTTACTTGAGGTTGTGGAGATCAGAGGTGCACTACTGCCTTGCCATTGCAGCTTTCATGCAAGTGCCAGGTTTCATATATTTATGAAAGGATTTGGCATATCCTTAATTTGGTGCTCATGTTGTGCTCATTTTGTGCTGTTGGGTGAAATCAGGACCCTATATTTTGGTTTTATAAAGAAGTCTGATTTGCCATGTGGTTTCTTTGGATGACCCATCTACTGTATAGGTGACTATCAGCCGCAGATTTTGACTACTATCCATACTGCCGAGGAATCAAAGCCTCCTGACCAGAAAGGCACATTCAGTAGAGTTCGACGCTTGTGTAACTGTCGAAAGAGAGTAAAGTTTATTTCACACCAAACGCCTTTGCCATTACTCCGAAGCATTTATAAGTTTTGGAACCAATCAGTAAAGTTTTCCGAATATTCTCTTGCTTATCGGTGGCTGCCAAAGGTTACGATTGGGATCATTTCACAGCACTTTTTGAACTTGTATTGAACTGGGTCTTTGTAATGTATCTGGAAACTATTTTGTCTCGTAGCAGCTCATAACCTGATACATTCTGTTCCAATGAACTTTGCATGGGAGTATATTTCTACAGTCTATTCATTGTGTAACAGTTTTAGGGTCACTTCACACTATGGCTATTTGGTTGAGTGGACCTTGATGACTCCACTCGGGCTAAAGGTCAATGTAGAAGTCTATTAAAATATAGTGAATATGACCTTTTTGGTCTGTTTGCTACATTGAGAACAATTAGGTCCAACTTGTTTGACTCAATTTCCTGTTAAAAGACGATCTTTTGGTGCCAAAATTGTCATGAAAATGATATCATGTAAACATTTTTGACCAAAACGTCTATTGATTGTTTGCTCAAGTGTGAATGATAAGCGGTCAATTTTTTCTCTCCACCTACTATATTGTTAGGAATCCTTTGTCTGCCCAACAATTGGCCATCGTGTGAAGGCCAATGCTAACTATCAACAATTTGTTTGGATACTGAAATGTGTAGCATACTTCTGCTTTTGTTTTCTTACTATAAATTTAGGTTCTGGTTCAAAACATTTGAATTATTTTAAGTTGTATACTACAATTTGCGCCTCAACTGCTTACCTGGCATGGATATAGATTTTTTCAAATTCATCTAGTCCATCACAAAGTTCAACATACCATAATGTGCCTTCGAAGTATTTTGCAATGATTTTCTGTCACTATTGAAATATAACTTCCATTCAACTTGTTTTCAAATATAGAACTTTACTCTGCTAATATATGTCAATAAATAGGTTTCCTGTTTTCTAGTAAATATTTCTTTCTTTCATTCTTTTAACAGAAAAGAAAATGTCATTTGTATGTAGATAACTTCGAAGCATCTCATAGGTTGTACAACTTCCACATTATCTAATCAATATAGAGAAATGTTTCATGAACATGTGTGCAATAGTTAAAATTAACATTGTTGTCTTACTAGATTGTACTTAAAATGATTGTTCATTCACAATATTGCAATTATCCGTTGATGCCAACTACAATCAACAACAAATTTAACTAATTAATTTTGTGTGAAAAATCCCTCTATTTATGTCAAATTATAAACAAAAAAACGGATTTCTTTTTTTTATTAATTTTGAACGATATTTTTATTGATTATTGTATATATTATTCAATTTTTAAAAAACTGTTTATTAAAATTACAACTTGATGTTACTACATACTCAATCAGAAGGCAGTAGTGATGTATATCATTCTTGTAGAACATTATTTTTATTGATTATTTGTAAGAGCTTCTTTTTATACATCATTATGTAAATGAAAATAAGTATGATCATTGTTTTTATGTAGGGTTCTAGTGTGAGAAGTTAAATTTGTAACAATCTCATTCACAAAACCACCAACCAAATTTGAACTAATATAATGAAGATACAAATCATATGTGTTATTACATAAAAATCATAAAATACACTTGCCAATAAATATTCTTTTATTAAGAAAAGGAATATAATATATATATTTTTTGTAATTAATACAGTTTAAAAAAAAAAAAAAAAAAAAAAAAAAACATAGAACCAATAATGTATACTTGGTAACACCATTTTATTACAATTCTTAAAAGGAATCTCATGTATAATACAATTGCTGTTACAGCAATTGAAATAAGTCAACACAAGATATACACAAATAATATTCATAGAGATATCTCTCAAATGAAGGAAAAAGAAAAAAAAAGAAAAAAAAAGAAAAAAAAAAATGGAATTCAAAAGATCTAATTACATTTATGTGTGCATGTCTTATAGAGCCTACCATAGACATATGCTCTATAACACATCTTTTTATTCTATCCCTCCAAAATCATGAAAAAAACTTCATAAAACATACAATTCTATAGAATTGTATAAGCACTTTCTTTTCAAGGACAAATAGAAACAATGTGTATTGATTGAATAATCAATGATGTGATAATTATAAGTAAATAAAAATGAAGGATTCTACATGAGAAAGAAACAATGAAGAAACAAACAAGAATATATGCAAAAAATGCAAAATAAGTGCTTCCATTGTGCAAAGGTTCACCTTTTAAGTGATAATTTATTACTATCCATATTCAACATCACATGCTTCTCCAAATACTTAATGATAGTATATGTGTATAAACTCACCCACAACTCCCTCTCTCTTTCAAGTACATTTATTAATTAATTAGTTTAGATCCGTATCTTGTATGAAAAGGCAAAACCTTGATTTGTGCTAAACCCTAAACCCAATTGCCTGCAGGGCCGTTCAACATATCTATCATTGAGCCATGGAGCCTCCCTTCCCCTATCTACCCAAATGCACACAATCTCATAGACTAGGCCAACAACTCTACCATGGTTTTATTATATAGCATTAGAAAGGTCCACCCCACTCCAATCTCTATGTGGACCCCACATTTATTGAGACTCTCTCAAAACTTTGATGTGGTAAAATGCTTCCACTCTCTTTGGAATCTTCCCACCTTTATAAATGAAATTTGAGTTATCTATTTATTAACTCCTAATTCCATCAACTGGTCACCTCGAAAGACCTACCGACGGGAGGTTTCGATCCTTCGACCTCTGGGTACTGGGCCCACCGCGTTCTAAAAAATCCGCTCTGATCGGTGCTTGTACTGCATGCAGGAATTTCCGTGACATTATTATATTTAATAGTTTCATGAGAATATGCTCATGCCGACACTTCACCGCACGGAAGAACCCCCGTCAGCAAAGAGATGCTTCCAGACCGAACAAAATTAAACGATTTTTAGTTTAATTAAATACGCAGCCTGCCATAATAAATATCTCATAGTGGTGAATTACCTCGACGACAGAGCCTCCCTCCCCAACGCTACAAAACTCGCACCCGGGTTGCGTAACCCGCCATCCAATGTGATCTGCAGGCTACGGATAATGTTTGGAAATCCGCGGAGTTCAGTGTCGTATTTCTGCTGCGGAATGAAGGACAGAACCCAAAAATCCGAGTTCTTTTCGGATCGAGCCAAGGATCCTCTCTCCCTGCAAAGCTGGGGAACCAGGATATCGCAGAGGGGAACAGAACAGTCAGTTTCAAGGGCAAACAAAGTCCACAGTGACCTACACCCCAAAGCTTCCTTCACCCCTAACCCCCCGGATTTCCTGAGTGAACACGTCCACGGTTTGGGCATCAAGCCAGCTCCGCATATGCAATTTATAAACACGCCTTCTCAATACCCCAAAAAAACCCCACAAAAATATATCACGGATTCCCAATAATAGAAAGCCTCGACGAAGCGTCACTAGGTCGAACTACAGCAAATCTACTTCGATTTTGGCTAATTTCGTCGCCAAGGGAGCTGTCGCTGACCACTTAGGCGAGAGAAATCTGGGCATTTTCATTGTACCCAGCCCCCTGGGGATTTGGGACGGGAGATCCACCGGGCTGGGTGCAATGGAAATCCCCCAGGGGAACCCCCCGGGCCCAGCCCGTCCCAGCCGCATTGGGCACAGCAGCATTGGGGAGTGTGCGGGTGGTCTGGATCCATTCACTTGGCTACATTCCGCATGGAGTCCGTTTCACACTGGAATCGTCGGTTCGACGAGCCCTTGGTTGGACGTGGATGGATGAGGACGTGGATGGATGAGGACGTGGATGTTACTGTTCATCCATTTGGTTTATTAGGGTTTGAGCTTTTATTTATATACACACACTAGTGGAAACCCTTGTAGTTGGTCATGAAAAAGTTGTAAAAGTTTTGATTTTTGCAACAATGAACAATCTTGAAATACTTGTGACCATTTTAGAATCCAATGTTTTTAGCAATAATAATACTATCATAATTAAGATGGTAAACAACGCAGTTGCTCCAACAATTCCAAACATTTTCATGATACTCACTCAATATGTTTAATTTCTATATCAACCTATTCAATACATGGTCACTGCTACCTAGAACTTCATCAATGCAACCAAATTCAACTTTGAACAGACCAGTATACATCACATTGTTCACTACTTTGTGGAGATTTAAAATTTTAAAAAATTAAAAAATTAAAAAATCGACCTATTTTTGGAACATTACATTAATTGCATCTACAACATCAAAAAAGTGACCAAAATCATCAATACGTCAATGCTGAAATCAACACACACACACACACACATATATATATATATATATATATTCATATATGCCATTTCTACTCTTTTCAAGTCTAATTTTTGAAGATGAATTTTGTAAACATGACATGAATGTATATATATATATATATATATATATATATAAATAAGGAGGGTTGTTGTGCAGATTAATAACACAATTTTGTTAGTGTGTATATGTATATACACACACACACACACATATACATATATATATATATGGAGGAGAAGAAGATGAAGTATTTATCATGAGTATATTCTTGATATGTGTGCCATAGTATGTTGGAATGTAGTTGTGATATATTTTTATTTCTGTAAATAGCAATTTTGTTTGATTAATATCTTATCAGATATTTGTATGTTCAGTTTTAAAATAGTTAAACTATAAATAACAAAGCAATGTCTTCTTTCTTTGCACATATTCTTTGCATATTCAAAACATTTTTAATCAATGCAATACAGAAATACCTTGTGATATATGTTTTCTTTTTCATCATTACTGAGTACCATATCGATTTACTTTTTTTTTGTTGGTTTTTCATTTTAAAAATGATATTTTAATTTACAGAACTTTTTAAAATGTTTTCAAATCAAAGGAATATATTAAATATTTAAAAACATAACTAGAACAAAATAAATTGAAATAATTTGCATACCCACAAAAATGTATTTTAAAATGTTACAGTGGTAATGTTTTAAGACCAAAAAGGTGCTTTTTTGTATTAAAACTCTAAACTAAATAACATATCACATTAGGGATATTTATACTCAGGGGATAAGATGAAGAAGTCACAAATTTTTAATTCCTTTATTGGTTGATATTTTATTTTTTATTTTTTTATTTTTAAAATTTTAACCAAACAAAAGAATTCAAAGTTGTATGCTCTAATCTTGTCCATTAAGTATCAAGACTTCTTAGTTTTTCTTTTTTCTTTTTAAATGGAAAATGAGATGGTTGTAAATATACACATTCATATATATATATATATATATATATGAGAGCTTGATTTTATATATTCAGTTAGAAGTTTCAGACTCAAAATTGATATTTATTTAAAATCAAACATTATGACCTTTTAAACACACATTTAATATAGTTTTGAAAACATGTGTATGTAAATATATAAATATTTAAGAAAATAATATCATTCATATTCACCTGATTTTCTTTCCAAAAAACATATATATATATATATATATATATATAGAAAAAACATATAAAAAATTATTTACTATATATATATGAAATTATATATATATATATATGTAGAAAAAACATATAAAAAATTATTTACTATATATATATAGAAAAAACATATAAAAAATTATTTACTATATATATATATATGAAATTATTCATTGAATCCCAATTTTGATTTTCACTTTTCTTCAGTGGATGAGGTATAGCTCTTCTTTAAACAATTAAGAATTAAAAATAAGAACTAGAACACATGTTCTTACAAACTAGGGCTCCTTCAATAGACTGTGTGTATGGATCTTCAGTCCACCTGATTAATGGTTTTGTTCAATTTGTTTTGTTGTTCTTAAAAAAAACACATGCATTGAGTAATAATCATTCTATTTTGTTATCTTTTTACAAAGTCGTAACTCTTGTGAAACAGAGTTTTTAGAATCATAGATTTTACACCTACTATTTTTATATAACTTAAAATTTACATGTATGTGTAAGGGTTTCCTTTTTTCTTTTTGGATTACTAATAAAATTTTACTTGTATGTATATTCATGTGAATATATATATATATATATATATATATATAGAATCATTCATTGTGATAATCATATAACAAAAAATCAATCAATATTATACATTAATAATAAGAAAAAATAATATTCATTTGAAATTTGAATAGGTGCATATAAGATTTGTTCCTTCTTAATGCTTACAAGTGAAGGACTATTTTTGTATGTATACATAAACTTCACTCTTAAAGTATTTAGTAGCACAACATAAATTTTTTTTTGTTTTGTTTTTGTGTTTGTTTGTTTTTGTTGTTTAGATCCTTGAGTACATGCTCTAGTATTTACATACAAAAGACATTTCTCTTACAGTTATATTTTGCATTTAAAACGATTTATTATACATCTCTTGCACCCAAAATATTATTTAATAGTTTTTAGAAACTAAAACATAGAAGTTGCAAGATATAAAAGAAAATAAAGGAAATTATTGATTAAATATAATATGTGTTTTATTGCAGTTAATTTCATGTACCAAAATTTTCATAATAATGCATTCAGTTCTTATTAAACCATATAGTTCTTTATAAACTTAAAAGTATATATATATATTTGAAGTTAAGAGAGCAGTTCCACAAGTGAGTATTTCCAAATCTTTCTAAAGCAATAGTATCCATCCATAACCGATGTATCCACTTAGATTTAGAAAAAAACAAAAGGCTTAATCAAAATTAAAATAAAATTCAAAAAAATTTACAATGCAAAATTATTTAAACTGCAAGAACAACAAACAAAGTAGTTGACAAGCACAAGACAAAAAGGAAAAAAAAAAAAAAAAAAAAAAAAAAAAAACTAGGTACTAGTCTAAGAACAAATCAGCACTGAGATTTATTCAAAACATATTACAGCTTTGTTTAATCAAAACCATTCTAATCTCATATTAATGTGCATATTAAGCACAACTACAAGAAACAAACAAAAATATGAAGAAAAATATGAACGCCATTGTGACTTTAGGACGACTAGTGTGAGGGTTTATGCATTGGATTTAATTACTCCATCAAGAGGAAGCAAAACCCTAAATTTGTGGGTGGATGTGGTAGTAGGGAGGAAAGCGGCAATAGGGGAGCGCGGGGACCGGCTCCGCATTCGAAGCGAGAGTCCCTCTCTCGTTGCATCGCTAAGCCTTTTTCTGGCATCGTGTGGCCCACCTGACATTTCACGACGACCTCAGTCAGAGGTCGAGCCGAATTCGGGGCTTGGGGTGGAAGGATATCGGGAGCAGCAGTAAGCAGTAAGCAGTAATTCTGTTTCTGGGCATTCTGGTGATTGTTGTGTAAAAAATTGGGTCATGGGAATTAGTCGCAGCGGGGGGACGGGAAAGCGAGAAAGGAGTGAGTGAGGGGAGCGAGTGAGGTCGATGCCCGAAATTTTATAAAGGTGTGAGTGTATGAGAAGAAGGGCTCGGATGGATCAGTACCCTGCAATGCTTGGAAGCAGCAGTAGCGGAGGCGATGGCGACGGCGGGTCCTCGGCTAAAGCCCGCAGCAAAAGGGTTGTCCTCTTGTGCTGCAGGTATGATCGCTGCAAGGTGGAAGCCCCGGATCCAATTGGCATTTTGGGATATGCTGTCGCGACTCCGGAGCTCGACCGTTGTCGAGGTCGGATTTCCTGCAGGGGTCATAATCAGGCATGACTCCGCTGGTCATGATCTGTAGCAGCAGCAGGGGCAAGCACCCCCCCCCCTCCCCCCCCGCTCCTCTCACCCCCGGACAGACAGCACCAGCCACCGTGAGGCTTGATGTGTGTGTCTCCGCCCTTTTCGTGCGCGGGTGAATGGTCGGGCGCAGCAGCAGCAGCAGCAGCAGTAGGCTGAATTTTTTTTTGCCTCTTTTGTTCGCGCTGGGTTTTCTATGTTTCGGAATCGGGAATCAACCTTGTGGGAAAAAGGTTTTTATTCACGCTGCGGAATGATGTGACAGATCGTTCTGCCTACTTATCCCGTGGGATCGTGTGATGAGAGATCGTGCCTCGGTATGGAGGATTTGATTGATGGACTGAGGTTGATGAACGCGCTACTTTGATTTTGGGTTGTCCTTGGTGCGATCGAAAGGGTGGGCTTGCTGGGTTATCATTGCGAACCCAAGTTGCGTTCTGTTTTGGAATGGAGTTGGAAGTGAACAGGGTGGGGGGTGACAACGTTAACAAAGGCAGGGAATCTCTGTGTAAGTGGTTTTTTGAAAGATATCCGCTGAGGTAGTCCTCCGACCGTTGAAGTCGCTGATGAATCGATCTCAACTCCGTCGTAGCTGTTGTTCCAGCTTTGTTTCGCTGCAGGGAGCGATGCATAGGTCAGTTGGGGTGTGTGGTGTGTGTGAAAGGAATGTAGCGACTGTGTGGGTTCGTAGCCAGCGCGGGATTTGTTTGTTTCCATCTCACTAAACATGTCTCCTTGCTTTCCACGGCTAGAAGCTTGGAACGCTCCGAATATGTGAGAAATTGCTGGGAACTCTCATAAGGCACAGCCGGAACTGGGAAAATCTTCATGACATCGCGTGTACTTGCGAGAGTTCGCATCTTCCACGTCTGTAATATAATGAGATGAAATGATTCGTCTCGAGCACATGAACTCCCTTCAGTTCAAAGAAATGTTGCAGGAGTTGTAGATTTTTTTTGGTGGATATCGAAATCGACCAGATCCTCGTTTGAGTGACGGACCGCTGTACAGAGATATTTTTTGTCATTTACCTTAGTTTCAGAGCACAGATTGGGATTGATCGGTTGACCTCTCCGCATCCAACATTGGGAGCTCCCGCTTTTGAAATTCCAAGTCATCTGAAGGTGATTGCCGTCGAGGGTGGCCACATTTGAAGAATGGGCGATTCTTTTGAAGCACGACTAGGCCCACCAGGGTGGGCACTTCAAGAAGAAAAGTCCGATAGATCGTCTAGTACTGTGGATGGAGTGGAAGAAGTTGCAAGTGAAGTGGCGCCCAACAGTGTAGTTCTTGTTGTAATAGATGTCAACAAGGAACTCAATATGAATGCTTTAAACTGGGCACTTGGTCACGTCATTCAGACTGGCGACACTGTAAGACTGCTGGGAATCCTTCAACATATCAATAATCCAAGTACGTCTCATTTCCCGTTTTGGTTCACCATTTGTAGTTGTGAAGTATTTTTGTAGCTTTACCAGTGAGTTTTTCATACGATCTTACGATGCTCCGGAAATGTATTCGACAGGGAAGTGTGTTCCTTGTGGTCCTTGCTAATGTGGTTTTTGATTGGGATATCAACTTCTTCTTCTTTCACTTTTTTTTTTAAGTTCTTGTTTTGTCTTTTTGAGTCATTCACAAGCTGATAGTTTAAATTTTGGATCGCATTTCTGTGCGTCTTGAGCACTAGCTTGTGTGCTATTGTGCAGTGGGTTATAGATCTCGTGCTGATGAGAAAAGCTGGAACGGAGCGAGTCGTAAGGTTCTGGATCATCAAATTGCGACACATGTAGTCATACTAAAAAGTATCCCACTCATTTTCAGTACAGTTGAGAAGAAAGGGGTATGCGACATCGACTTTTTTCAGCTATGTAGATTAATCAGCAATAATTCTTTTTTTTTTTCCCCCTTATTAACAAGAATCGCATTTTTCTTTTAGTCAGAAAAAACGGTATCGAATGTGCTTCGTTCGTTAGCCCTACATTGGATTCTTGAGTTAATGCTATCATAAGCTGATATGTTATTAGTTAAGCCTCTTTAAAATCAGCTTACGACATGATTGAGGTACGTATTGCAAGCATTATGAAAACCTGAAAATGGTGTCTTTGATACAGGCTAAGCTGGAAATCGATGTGCGGGCCAATCTTTATTCGAAGACCCTTGTGGTAGACGAAGCGAAACGGCTCGGTGCGCGTTACGTGGTTATTGACAGGTGATACTCTTCTTGTGTGTTGATGGTTTACATGTAAACCATCACTTCATTGTCTTGCTGCTTGAGACCATCATGTAGCGGATTGTAGGACGTTTGGGTGGTCTGGGCCCCAGCCTTCTAAAGTCTGTCTTTGCTATGGGGCTTCCAATACGCAGGCACATCAAGAAAGATAAGAAGTACTACATTGACAACCTTACTTGCTATGTAACTCGTGTAAAGTCGTTGACGGCTTTTGAGCATTTACGCCATGGAGTGCCCATGGTTGAGGACGCAGAGACGACGCAGAAAGGGGAGACTTCTAGTGGAGAGATGTGTAGGGAGAATTTACTCTTGACCTCGCAGGACTCAGTTCCCACGAGTGCAGGTTCAGAAGTGATGCAAGCGCCGATGCAAGCAACACTTCCGTTTTCGCACCATCAGCCGCACACATTTTCCTACACTGGCAAAGCTCCACGTTCAAGCAACTCTTACAAGAGTATGAACCCCATCTACGAAGGCCCTTTGGCTGGTGATTCAGATTATGAACTTGAGCAGATGGGGTACTCTCGTCAAAACCCTGACAACCACATGGATGCTACAACAAGCTCAAATCGGGAGCTCGCTGTCCGGCGCTGGTTGATTGATTCAGGCTACAGAATGGAGTCCGGCTTTAATTATCCGACTACGGAGTATGGTAAGTTGATGCTAATTAATTAATGTGTTTATCTTCGTATTTTTATCTACTGAATTTGATTTGATTTTCATCTCTTTCTTCACGTGTTGTACAGATTATATGACCACAGGATACTCTGCATATGCTGCGATGCATCAGGTGCCCACACCCATGACCCCCTCCATAGAAGCAGCGCTGGCTGACCATATGTCAAATTTACACAGCTCTAATACTTATGCCCCTACGCGTGCCCTTTACTCAAGAAGCGATAGCGCAGAGAGCGGCAAGGTATCTAAACCAGGGTTTACTACAGGAGTCCTCCCCCGATCTAGAGAGAACCACGTTAGAAGCAGCAACCCTTCAGGCTCTCAGAGTGAGAGTGTACAAATCGAAAAAGAGGATGGACTCGCATCCCTCCTCAACCTTCAAGGAGGCTGTAGCAGTGCGGATAGTAATCCTGTTGAATCGTCACAAAGAGGCGTGGGGTTCGATAGAGGCGCCAGTAGTAACAAGGGTGGCCCTGTTTCTGTACAGCCACGCCGAGCAGACACTAACTGGGCCTTGGAATTGCTCCAAACTGACTTTGGAGGAAAATCACAGGCTATCGCACAACCAGTGAGGCAAGAGGAAGCAGTGAATCAGAGTAGCTTTCAAGCATTCAATACTACTAAGGATAAAGTGGGTCCAAGTAGCGCTCAGGGTTCAGTGGATCGCATCTCCAGCGTGCGGAGGGCAGTTTCCAGTAAGAAGTCGATGCCAGGAACTCCGCCGCTGTGCAATGTGTGTCATCAAAAGTCTCCTACGTTTGGCAAAGTGAAAAAATTTATGTACGCGGAGCTTCAGGAGGCTACCGATAATTTCAGCGACGAAAATTATTTGGCTAAGGGTGGGTACGGCACTGTGTATAAAGGGAGGCTGACAGGAGGTCAGTTGGTGGCTGTGAAGCAGCACAAGCTTTCAAGCTGTCAAGGGGACGAAGAATTTTGCGCAGAGGTTGAAGTCTTGAGTTGTGCACAGCATCGAAATCTTGTTGCACTCATCGGATACTGTGTTGAGAAGCAGAAGCGTCTTCTTGTGTATGAGTACGTATGCAATGGATCGCTTGACATGCATCTTTCCTGTAAGTAATCAGCTCTCTCGTGGACCTGTACGCAAAACAGAAAACAGACGTCAAAGCACCCTCTTATCTTCATTTAATAACTCTCCATATTTACTATGTTAAGGTTGCGAGAAGACTACATTGCATTCTAAAAATTTATGTCTTGATAGTTAACCTGGGTTGCTGTAAATCCAGCCAAGGCCAAGACGGAATTACTATGGGCTCACCGGCATAAGATTGCGATTGGGGCAGCTAGGGGACTGCGGTACCTGCATGAAGAGTGTCGTGTAGGATGCATCGTTCATCGTGATATGCGGCCTAATAATATCCTACTTACACACGACTTAACACCAATGGCAAGCGACTAATTATATCCTACTAGTTTATTTCATTGCAATCAATACTTTCGGATAGCTTCGCATTACTTTCACTGCGTCCCAGTATATTGCAGTAATTAATTACTGTGCATCTCTCGCTTATAATTGATCTTCATGTTTACATATCGAGATGCATTACGTGGTCTAGGTTGGGGACTTTGGACTAGCAAGACGGCAGGTTAGCGGAGACCTGGCAGAAGAGACTCGTGTGATGGGCACCATCGGTTATTTGGCTCCAGAGTACGCTGAGACGGGGCAGATAACAGACAAAGCGGATGTTTATGCTTTCGGCGTTGTCCTGCTTGAGCTTATAACAGGCCGTAGAGCCATCGATCACTCTCGGCCGAAGAACCAAACGTCCCTGACAGAGTGGGTGGGTATCATTCTTGTTTTGTTACCTTCACCTGTTTTTCAGCTGTTCATTGTATATGTCCACGACTAGTCTGTTCTGCGCATTGGTCTAGGAGTCTCCTGGCTTGGTTCTCATGTGGTCAAGCTCGTGATCAGATTGATCTGTGTCGTGAATGACAGGCTCGCCCACTGCTCGCTACTTACGACACAGACCTCATTGACCCACGTTTGAAGATGCAGTATAACGAGCCCGAGATGCACTGCATGATGTACGCCGCAACCCAATGCATCAAGAAAAATCCAAATGAACGTCCACGGATGACGCAGGTGTGAAATGAATCTGACATTGACATGCTCGCCCCTGAACCATCTTTTTTTTCTTCACAACTCGTAGAGCTCTAATGATCTGAGGTAGAGCTATCCCTTTGATCAACATAGATTTCATGTTGTTAAAACAGAAGAAACGTTGGAGTTTTTTGTCCTTGATCATTTTGGCTGAATCATTTAGAGGAATGATCTTGAAATTGAATGGGCTCTAATCTCAGCATTCTTCTATTGATTGTCAGGTACTCCGCATTTTAAATCCACCGCAAGAGAGTGACTGGACGTATGGACCTGGTAGATCGATCTCGGTGCATTTAAGCACCTCACTTCCTCCTCAACCGGGTCTCCTACCTCCATTGGATTCAGTAACGTCTTCACATTCCCCGGCCTATTTCGGCTCAAGATACGTCTCCTCCGGATCGTCAAGATCCAGCAGCTGCTCCCATTCGGATGACTCCCTTGGCTCCCAAAAGCCCACCTTAGAGTGAGCTGCTGTCTCAATGTTCCCACACCCACAGCCTTGAATTATTTTTGATACGGAGAATGTTCATAAACAGAGGTGACGGTCATGTAAGTATGTAGCTTAGAGTGCAGGTACTACAGAGCATTTCGTTTCGCTGAGGCATATCATGTATATATTAATTTTGTTTGTTTCACACCAAGTTTAGATTGATCAACCCTGCCTCGGCACGTGCAACTGGTCAACTCTTAGATTTTCCGGGAATGATTTAGTAACTGGACCAGTCCATTTTTTCTCACCATGTTTGGGTACATGGCTTTTCATATCCTGTAGGTTCAAATCGTGGGCACGGTCCTCCACATTAATTGAATATGTGAAGAGCCATTCTAAAAACAGGGTTGGACTATTGATATGTGAATAAAATAGCGGACTTCTTTGTTACATGCTATTGGGAAATGTCAGAATGTTTTGGTTTGCTTGCATCAAACCTGGGTCCATCCCCAATTTCATCAGCGTATGATTCAAGACTTGATCTTCATCAGCCAATCTTTTTGAACCTCGACTTTTGACTCCTCAAACCTAGTGTCCATGTTTGATACCCATCCCCAGACCAGATGGCTCTCGGCATAACATTTTGGTCATGCAATTTGGAAATATTATAATCTTCACATCGAGTTACACAACATGGTTGCTTTCAAGCAAGAATGCTTTTCTGTTGAGGTACCAAAATTTAGGCAGCTGGGGATCCTTAAAGAGACAAAGATCTGCAGAAAAAATCTCTGCAGCAACTGGCCTTTTCTCAAAGTATGCTGTGATATTTTTGAAATATCACTTGATACTTCACCAAATCACCCATCTCAGAAGGTGGATGATTTCGAAATTGAAATATCAAAAACTGCATTGCTAGCCTTCACTCTCTTCTCCTTTTGACTCCATACAAAGGGATAATAAAGTTTGAATCAGGGGGTAATAAAGTTTGACTAGTGATATTTTGAATTTGATATTTCAAGTGATCCTAGAAATATTAGGTGTTGAATCCAAGTTATTTGGTTTTGTGAAAGTGCCATGTTTAAAACCCTCTATTCCAATTGCTTAAATTATGAATAAACATTGATAGCAATGCTTGAATGAGGAAATCCACAACTCTTCCCAGCTTCATATATCTTCAAACAACTTTGCTACTCCTAATCAGACATTAATTCCTCATGCAACACAAGGTTGGCGAGGGGATTGTTACATGGCATCAAGTTGATCACATCCTTGGCTTGCTTTGAGATTTGATATAGTTAAGAGTGTAATTGTGTGTAATGAAGATCACAAGTAGTCCTACTATGTAACACCCTTGTATGTCAAAATGTTGCTTGCATTTAAAAACCAAATACTTGCTTAAAAATTGAACTTCTTGGGAATGGTATTCACTTTGTCTAATTATTCTATTTTTGTAAACAATGAAAAATAGAATAATTAGACAAAGTAATATCTGGTTTGAAAAGATAATTTATTAAGTTGTCTTTATTTTGATTTATTAGCATAAATATTTCTTAAACTTTTGAATTATGTATTTTAAAATTTTCAAGTAGTAAGTTACATTTTTTGAAAAAACAAGAATAAAGTATATGTATTAAAATATTACATAAAGTAATAAGAGAAGTAAAGGTCCAATTTTACAAGTTAAAAAATCAAGTAAACAAGGTTGTGAAGAGAACAAAGTTTAAGTATTCTAGGGTGGATTCTTAATAAGATATAACCATATGTGCTTGCAATGAAATAGATATAGTATTGAAAAATATTTTTTAATCCATTGTATTATTAAATTCAAATAAAGGCCTAAAATTGGAGTAAAAATATAAATTTTTTTAAAGAAACTAAAGAAATTTTTATTCTTTTTCATATTTATATAAAACAATTCTAAAGTCCAATTATTGAAAAAATTAAATTAAATTGAATTAAAACATTTCTTTCTTTTTTGCCACATAGATTATACATATATTTATAAAAAAATACTTAAGCTTTGATTTTGTACTTAATTTTTTATTGTAGTATAAATCTAAGTTGTTCAAGGAATTTTGAAATGTTCAAATAGATATATTTCTAAAATAAACTTTCACCAACTATACAAATTGATTATAAAATTGCCTTGATAATTAGAGAAAAATCACCAAAGAAAGCTCTTTATAAATTGAACCAAGAGAAATCAATAAAACCTAAAAACATAATTCAATGAGTTGTTTGAAAGATGTTATATTAGATTCACTTAATTCCCATTTGGAACAATAGTTTTACTTGTAAATAATTAAAATCTAAAATGCATATAAATCACCAAACTATCAATAAAATCACCATAAAAAAAACAAAAACAAAAACAAACTATTCAACACCACCTACAGATGATCACTTAAATTGATTAAGTAGAAACAAATTATTTAGCTAAATTGATCTTTAAGTCCTCATATCCCAAAATTAACTTGGAAGAAGCAACTGTTGGTTGATCACTAAGAGGGAATCAGTAAGAGAAACATGGGACTACCTTGTAGAATTAAGCATGCAATGCCAAAACAACAAAAAGGTTCCTACTTAAGAGTAGAATTCCTAACTGCAATCCCAAGATGGGCTCACTTACAACAGCATGGTAACAAGCCAACACTAATCTACTCGAAGTGTGGATGGACTCTATTGTTGTGCAAGGGAGTACTTCAGAGGTTGGAGCATGAGAAGGGGGTAATGACCACATCAAACTACACGTCCAGTAAGCCTGAGCATAACCATAACACCACAACGGTCAGTAACTCCACACTAGAAAATAACAGACAGAAATAAAGTAGACTGTGCTACCGAACTCTCTAAGTTTCGAGCATGTGAATATACTCACCAAATTGAACTGCAGATTATTCCATAGCTGCCACAAATCGCCGGGGCCTATGCAACCAGCTTCCTCAAGGATGTTGAGCAGAAAGGAGATGTCAAGAGATGTCTGCTTCACATGTTTCAGGTTCACAGATAGCAAGAAATCGGGTAGGCGACGCTGGGGGGTTTTTATCAGCAATAAGACACGCACCCTCTGCCTCATCTTTGTCTCCTGAATCGGCGACATCACCATTGTTGTTCCCTGCGCCTAAAATCGACCTGGATTTTAGGTCGATTTTACATCATCAAGATGCACACGCATAGAAAGCTACAGCTAAAAGGCGTCCAGAAAATATTGCCAGAAGAAATCAAAAAGATGAGGACAAAAACCAAACGCGTTCCTCTGTGCAAGTGCCAGGACCAAATCGAAATCAAGGGAGGAGAAAGGGACCAGAGTTTAACATACCTATCAATCAATCGCCTTTGACCAGAATGTAGCTCCGAAATTGGTCTTTGAAGATTGCCATAGCTAACCCGGAAACCAGCTCCAAAGCAGATGTGTGTCTGCAACAGATCAGCGGCAGCTTCCCATGGGACTTAGTGAAAACATCTTCAATGAAAACAACAGGTTGCGCACCGGAATTTGCTCCTTGCCTTGTGGAGTTCCTTACAAATACTTTAGAACCGTCCTCACCCCTAATTCTCCAAATCACACTTGTTGAAAATGAGTATCGAAGTTCATTTTAATCACATGAGAGGCAGTTCGGTTGACTTTACCCATGCAGGATATTCTGAAGTCATTTGTAAATAAGAAATGTTTTAAAAGCATGTTACCATCAGGCACATCTTTCACAGTAAGAACTCCTGTTAGGATCTCCAATGCCTAAAAATCGTGTACTAGAGTTCAAAGATACTTCGAAACAGTTCTCGAAGAACAGTCTCATTTCCTGTATGAGTTGGAAAATTCTCGTTCAATTAACCAGCAAAACCTCACAAGTTAATCCATAGCCACAGCATATCACCAAAGCCAATGCTCACAGATCATTCTTCAAGTTTTTAAGACTGTGTATTTTTAAAAATCCATAAAAATTCTTGTTCACAAAGCCACCCTCGAGTATCCCAAACCAAGAGAGAACTGTGCATCTAGCACCTCACAGCACACACTGAAATCTCGAGGACCTGTTTGCCTATCCTCAGAATATTACAGCATAGCACGGCACCTCCTACTAGTCGCCTACAATTTATTGCTGAACCAATCCACCTTAGAAAAACCTTCTTGCATTCAGCAAACGTTGGGATGTGCCATAGCAGCACAACTCGAAAGAGAATGATTCTCATATTAACCATTTAGATGGCGTGCATAACAGCACAGCTCGAAATCTTTACAGAGAAACCAATAGATTAGTTGTCCATACAATCTGAGCTTGCCCGACAATTGCCCAGATATTTCCTGCACAAGAATTGATGTTACATTTAAAGCAAGAGTACAAGTCTTTCTAAAAGTCCCATTTGCAAGAAATATCAGGCTTCCTAACGTCGCCACAAAGCTCTCTAGCTGCAGTGCTAACAGAGCTAACTGAGAACGAACTCCTGATGCGACCTCCATGCACTGATCCGAAATACTGAAACCAAAAAACCTGGACCATTTTCTCCATTTCCCCTTTACCACGACAGCAATCAGAACAGGTTCCCCTGTCAAGATGCATGATAACAACTCATCACTTGGCCTTCTTCGCCTTGCGGCCTCTATTTTTGTCATTTTTTCGTTTTGCCCCTACATTCTTCGGAGGAGCTGGTCCCTTGCCAGCCTTGAATAGAGCAGCTTGCTTGCGAGCTAAAACAGCAGGCCTTTTCGTCAGCCTCATCTTAGGACCTGGATCACCTGTTTTATTTGCACCTCCTTGTGAAGTACGTCTGGGATCATGGCGTCCAATAGCTCCCTTTCCTGGTTTGCCGTCTGATTTGGCAGCTCGTGCGCCCTCCCATGGAAGTGGACCCTTCTTACCTGACGATGCAGCACCTTCAGGAATTCGCTTGCTCGCTCCTGTGTTACGTTTGAAATGCCCTGCGTCCTGACCAGAAGGCTTGGACAAACTTTTAGGACGTTGGGTGCCCATGCGGACAACTCTCAGATATCTCTCGCCTATTTTCGTGGACTTCCTCGCTAGAGCCGCGTGTGCGCCAGCCTAATATCACAATCGATAAATTTTAGAAAAGCTTACATGCAAGAAATCAAACCTGCAACACAACTCACAACCCTCCAAGAACCAAGCCGTTTGAGTTGATTCCGTTATAAATAAGTTAAGATCTCGAACATTAGTAGCCAGTGAGATTCTCAACATGCAGGTTATCACCCATGGACTAACTATACATGTTTTGTAGCACAAAACATTAAAATCGTATAAGCGCATGAGATAATAACTATATGGTTGTTGGCCAAATTAGAATAAGGGTGGTTTCGTAATGGAGCATGAAGTTCCAAATTTACGGTGAAGTCCCGTAAGCAAAGACAAGGCATAAAAAACGGCCCCACCTTAGTTTTAAAGAGTACAAACGCAAAGCCTTTGCTAATACTGGTCTGAGGGTCCCTTGGAACTCTTATGGCTTCAACATCCAGCTCAGGGTTGTCAGTAGCAAAAGCCTTGTACAAATCCTCCTCCTGTATGACGTTAATATGGTCAATACTTGCTAAATAGTAAACAACATTCAGATGCAACAGTACTGATATCATTCATTTAGCTCTTTGTACAGCTCATTCTCAGATATATCACATTAGGAAACTGGAGGGGAGGAAATCACCTCTACATCAAAGGGAACATTCCCCACAAACAACGATCGAGCTCGGTCATACTCAGATGCTGCATCAGGACCAGGTGTACGGTCCTTCCGAGGAGCTGTGGCCATGTCTACGCGAATGTGCTTTCCTAGAAACTGCGAACACAGTAGAGCTCAATTAGAACAACATTGAAAACGCAAAGTGAAACTAAAAATGATTACTCCCAAGAACAACGCTCCACACTGACAAATTAGGTGGAAAAAAAAAATCATTAAACCTCATTTTTCTGCTCAGTTCTCACCAAAACTATGTTACAAAGAATTTTCCAGCAACCTGTCTCTTACTTTGGCAACAAGAACTCCAGAAGAGATGAGAACCCTTAAAATTGGGATGTCTATGGATCAAGCAGAAAAAGCCAGAAAAGGTGTAAAATAAAAAGCAGCTCTACAAGAAACCACAATTCAACCACTGCAATTCAACCACTTTACTTTTTCTGAAGTCAGCTACTGGCAATGAGGAAAACATCGTGATGCTGTGCAACATACCTCAGCCATGTTATGTGCTAGAGCAGCTTTTGCTGATGCTTGCTCTTTAAAAACTACGTATGCATTCTGGCTGCCATGACATACAAATCCAACTTAACGCCAAAGATTACGTAAGAAAAAGAATGTAGCACTATCCATCGCAGAACGCATGCACAAGTGCACAAACTGGTCAGTCTGAGATACTCAGATAACATGTAACAGATGCAAAACAGTGTACATGCTGCACAATATATTTGTGAACCCAATGAGAACTAGCAGAACACTAACGCCATGGCCTTTTTAATGATGCTCCTACGTCAAACATTGAAAACTGACAAACGTTTCAAAGACGCTGGTACAAGACAAAGCAAGAGCTAAGTACCTGGTGCGTTTTTCATTGACCTGACCAGTGATAACAGCAGCCTTTCGTGGGAGCTTTGTCTGAAGCCAGCACATATAGTACACCCAAATCCATACGAGGCAATATTCAGAAAGTACACTAATAATATCTTGGCAAACACACCGGGATAAAATACTACACTAGGGTTTCATTTACGATGGCTCATGAAACTTAAGAATGATGAATCACAAGGGTTGCTGTCGTAATCGTGAGCTTACGTCGACAAGAGCGATAGAACGCAATCGAGCACTTGCCACCTTTCCAAATTGAGAAAATTCTCGAATTATCTGCTTCTTCTTCACGGTTGTAGGGAGATTGCCAACAAAAATAGTCCGAAGAAGTTTCTCTTCCTCCTCTTCTAGTTCTTGCTTTGTCTTCTTCTCCTTCTTCTTCTTCGGTAATAGTATACCATCCTCATCATCAAATTTTCTCTTGCTTTGCTTCTATAAGACAGGAACATAAGAGATCAGATAGTAGACAAAGTAACAAGTAATTCTAAGAAAGAACTGAAATACTGAAGGTAAAATATAATTCACAAAATCTCCACCAAAGATAAGGTGTTAATATCTAGTGCTAGCACGAAAAGTGTCAAAACAAAAGAATAAAGTCGATCACGGTGCGGGACCTCGCTTCTACACTCTGTTCGTCACCGAAATTGGATCACGCAACTCATGAAACCAAGGAACTCCGATTGAGTCCTTCCAAAGGCGACACTGAGTAGAGGAAACATCGGAACGAAAGATAATAACTAAATAATCAATTAAATAAATTTCAACATCGGACATCAAATAGAGCAATGAGAGGCCTCGTGATTTCATGTCCCACTTGCTGCTATTCGAGAATGAGAAATGGTACAGAGCCGTATGATTGTAAGTCTCGAGTTACCGACATAAAGTCGGTGAGAATGGACTGGACAACTAGTCTGTATGAAAAGGAAATGCGACACTGCAACTCTTGCCTGGACATACCTTTGTGTCTTCCTGGAGGGACTCATGTAGAATGCTGTCAATCTCGGGATCCTCGGAAACCACTCCTTGTACGCTGGTTTCATTTTTGACTTTCTTGACATCTACCCCCCTGAAAAACTTTTCAAAGTCCTCTACGATTTCTTCATCACATACATTTCGCTTGGGCCGTTCCTCTTTCGACGCGACGCTAAGTTCCTTGGTATGCTTGTTAGGCGTCGAGTTTAAGGAAACATCCCCCAAGTTAGCAATCGGAGTCTCGGTTTCAAGTGCTGTAACGCCTTTCTTTTTCTTCAAATTTTTATCTTTCTTACTTTCTACTAAGACAGGAACATCTGATGTGCCATTGCCATCCTCAACAGTATTTTCTTGTTTACTCTTCTTTTTTCTCTTCTTTTCGTGACCGGAGTCAGTGATGAGCTCTGCAACAGCCTTCTTTGCATCCTCCTTTCCAGAGCTTTCCTTTCCATTCTTCAGCGACTCCGGTCGTGACGAAGAAATCACACCAGACTTACTAATTGCACCCGCAGCATCAGAATCATTCTCTCTCTTGTAGGGATTATTTACGAAAAGTGATAAACTTCCAGAAAATCCTCCAAATAGGTTCTTAAAGACCTCCGTACCTTCGCCGTCGCCCATTGTAAGGTTCAGCCAATGTTAGGCCGACACTATAATAGTAGGAAATCCTAGATCATACCGTGTATCCTCCAATTCCGACAACTCCAACAAAGAACTCACGGTGAACGATTTTCCCATAAACTAATGATAACTATCTCATCCGTCTGCATAGGCGAAAAACTCGGCCAATACACTCACTCCAAGACTCAGATGAACTTTGCATCAGCTTCCACGTCCACCTGCAGCAAACATCTCACACGTTTCGACAACAAAACGTTAGACTAACTCCAGACACACTCCAATATGCTCAAATGTACATCAAAATTTAAGCTAGATAGGATACCGGCTAAGCATGTCTTGAAGGAAGGAAAGGTGCACCCTCAAATGCACACAGATTTAAACGAAGAATCACGAAGCATCAAAGGACCATCATTAACCGACACCAAAATCCCCTCGTTGACATGGGACTTCCCCTACACTAATGGAAAAGGAAAGCGATAAGCTGACAATGACAAGAATAAAGAGTACACCGTCCTATTCAAAAAAAATCAGCTGCACTGAGGATGACAGCTGAACGCACAAAAGGAAACCAACAGTGTACGAACCGATAAGATAAAAGCCTATACTGGAACCTAAAACCCTAATTCTTTCCACTCAAGAGGAACACCAAACCAATATCGCTACTGCGAACTCCATTGAAAATTCCTTTCACGCACATCTAATCAAAAACTCACGAACAGGGGAACCGCGAAGAAAAAAGCCTAAGCCCACAGTTGTAGAAATCCTCCCCATCAGAAGAAACCACGCATTCACAGAATAACTGCAGAACAAGGACCCTCTACAACCTTCCAACGCCCCTAGAAGCAACGAAGACCCAAGAAACAAAAGAAAATTTAAGGGGAAAAACAAAACAAAACAAAACAAAAACCCTCTAAAGTCCTAAACCTCCAACCATCCTAAACAAGTTCAAACAAACCAAATGCGTCACAATTTGTTCAAACAGAATACCCAACACATTAAAATCCCCACACGCACAGAGTGATACGAGTGCACAACATTACTCTGCTAACCGCGTAAAAAACATAAAAATAAAATAAAAGGGCGAAACACGCAGCGCCAAATTCCGAATTCCTACCCTGCAAGCAACCAAGAGGCGCCAAAAAAGAATGGAAATAAGAAATTGAGAACGAGGAGCATGAATCCACGTCCTGGAGATCCAGAGAGAGCATTCAGAAACGCAGAATTGGGGTCGTGCAAGGCTGATTGACTGACCTGGTAGCGGTATTCCAGGCCCAAGGGCCATGTCCTGCTCCAACTTACTCACTGTGTGTGTGTGTCTCAGTCTGCACTGCTTCTCTAAGCCTCTTGGGTTTTAGGGTTTTAGCTCATGGGAGCAGTTGTTCCCGTGTTCGTGCACAACGCACCCAGAGTTCCCCAGCTACAGAATCTTCGGAGAGAGTCCAGCTAAAAGAGCCCTCACCCCATCCTTCACAACAGTATCATGTATATTGCAAGAGTTTACTTAAGTCTCACACATGCACACACACACACACACACACACACACAAAAAAAAAAAAAAAAAAAAAAAAAAAGAACGGAAAGAAAGAAAGAAAGAAAGGGTAAGGTAGACAACCCATTTACAATAACTTAGGTATTTTAGCATATTTACAGTAAGTGTAAAAATAAAATAAAATTACCCCCATGTAGGGAAATAGAAATAAGGAGAATTCCAAATGTTTTCACACAATTTGGTCCAAAAATGAATTTTATATAAATGTTTTAGCTGAAGATTCTCTTTGACTCATTTCCTACATGTAGGCCAACCTAATTCCAACTAGTGGCGAATTACAAAACCAAGAAGTGTGTCACTTAATTATGCTATATTATTCTACCTCAACCAATCAAAAACTACCACCTATATCAATAGTTCATGCATACCTATTCCAAGTACAATTAATTCTATCTATTATTCACAACTTAACATCATATTAACCAACCCCGACCTATTTTTGACCAACAAATGTCAAACTTGATTGACAATAGGTTGCATGATTAACAAAAATACCCCACCCTGTAGGTTGGAAATGGGGAAGTGGTTGACAATGTGTCTCCTACCTTCTACATATGAATGTAAGTGTGGATTTTTTTCTCAATGTTTAATTAGGGGCCATCATGAAGATTAATTCAGTCAAAGGTTATTTATCAAATTGGGTAGAGCAAGCACAAACTAGAAGGGTATTGAGGTTGTTGGTAAGTAATCACCCTTTTTCCCATGTGCACAAAAATGATGTTTACTAAGCACCAATTAGTGGTCATGTTGACACCTATCTGATGGAATGAATCAAATCATTGACCAGTAGCTAGTTTCAGTACCCATTGTCCTCACTGTTTTTTTTCCTTATAAAACTCCACTTGGGTACACCCTTATTGCTGGTATCTTTGGGTACTTGGTGATTATTTGAGGACCATGTGTTTTGATGAATATAATATCCCCAATTGCCCTGCTTGTCTCTATATGGTAGCCATTGAGCACTCTTTCCCACACACTTTCAAATGCCAAGGACAAAGATACAAACAACTACATGGAAATATGATAATCAATATGCTGCAGGAAAGTGGAGGTCAAACATTGAGAAGTACATTTCTACAGGAATACTACAGTAAACTGTATGACAGAGTGCCATGAGTGGGAGCTTATTCAATGTTGTCCATAACTCCTGACATATGTTGAACTTGGTCCAGAGGCATCAATTATAATACAAGCATTAGTTAAAAGTTTTAGGTTTATGGCAAGAGGAATGAATTGACGAGGTTTTGCGAACAGGAAGAATTTCTACAAAATACTATGAGGATTCGTTCCTGTTACTACAAACCACTGAACTTGTTGGATATCGTAGTTTGAAAGTGATGAAAGGGTGTGTGCAAGTAGGGTGTTCGCAACGGCTCCTTGAGCATGCTACAATGCACAACCCAAACTGCAATGATGTCCCACAAATTATGATCATGATTAAGAAGTGATTCTCATGAAAGAGATTAAATGCAAAAAAACAAAGCTACATTGAGCTACAGATGCTTGGGGAGAATCTCAACCAGCTGAATACTTTTGCATCACTAACCATGAAATTCTACACCTAAGCCCCAGTGAGGAACGTTGCACAACCTAAAGATTGCACGTCAACGTTCCAAAAGTCTCTTTCCTTTCAGAAGCTTCTTTACAAGGGAGGTGTAAGTTACTAAAAAGTGTTAATGTCACACTTCAATAGGGGATGCTCCAAAAGTCTGAATTCCTACAGATCACCAGTGAGAGAAACAATCGTCAATCACTTGATGAATGTCTTCTGTTCAGGATTACAATTGTGCCAGATCGAGGATAAATGTCTCATGCATCCTGGACAACCCAGTCCACATGATATTGTTTCTAATAAACCGCAGGTGCTCCACATAAATGGAGCACGCAAGCACTTTACCCAAACTGCTTTGACCTGATCAGAAGCAGACATGAGACTGCTTGCATGTCACGTTCAAAGCCAATCTGATAGAATGGCTTCCAAATACCCATATTAAAACACCAATACCCTCTACATGAGACTAAAAAACCTGCACAAAGCTTCAGCCAAACAACCCTCCTTTGTAACCGTACTTGAGCAGATTGGAAGAATAACGTTCGACACTTGGCGAAGTTAACTGAGCCTGTTTCAAGTTTGAAACCTCCTCGGAGTACGGGGCTGTTGAGACTTTCTCGGTCGCTTAAGCCCTGGGCGTGGAAATAGCAACTGGTCTATCAATTGATCTGCAACTTTCTCACATGTTGCCTGCAATTCAAGCGAAGGTACAGAATGGTTACTACCACGAAATTATTTTACAAAATCCTTGCGAGTAGAACAATCGACAGCGTGGAACAAGTCTTCTCAGTGATGCGTTCCAAAGCATAAAACTAAACATAAACCCCTCAAGAACTGAAAACAACAACTTGAATTTTCTGATTCTGCTGTTGGGTATGAGTAGTGAAACATAACAGGAGTAAAATTCGCTCTGCATCAAGATATTTCATGTCATATATACATACCTTCCTATTGAATTGAAAACGGAGAGTTTGGACCTCAATGCCAGCGCTTACTCGCAAGTCTATACCTAAAAAGTCAACTCCAATAACCTTTGCTTCCTGCGTGAAAAATATGATTTTAAATCAGCACCCAGTCCACCAATAACAAGGAGGATTCAACACTCGAGAAACAGCGAAATGATTCCTAAGTAACAAGCAAAAATCAAGAACGAATAAAGAATTTTGGAGTTTTTATCTAAACTTTCAACCTTTATGAACACTCAAACCCTTTTGCAGAGGAGACTAAACCAATTACGTAGAACTTAATTTGATGATACCACTTCTTGAAACTGTGAAAAAATTGAGCATACCTCAACTTCTAGACCAAGTTCTCGTCGACATAATGCTTTGAGAGCTCGCTCAGTCTTACTCCCACCTTGATTAACCCGTTCCATGATTGCTGCAGCAGAATGGGCCAATATGTCTGGTTGCCCATTACAAAAATCTTGTATTTCTATAGATTTCTGAAAATAACCATGCATATGGTAAAGAGAGTGAGTTGAAATGCTAGCATTCAGCAAGAACTGAATCTCCATATTTCCTAACTATTTCAAAATAATAGGATAAAAGAATCGAAATGCAGTTGAAATCGACCAGCAGCCTCAATACATCCAAGACAGAAATATCTGAACCCCTCATATTGACACAGCTTATCCTACATATGAAGGCCCTATCAATACAAGAAAGCAGTTAATTAATGGTTCAAGGACAGGAAACTTTAGAAAAATACACAAGTGCGACAATGGAAACTCTTACCTGCAATCCTGAATTTAGGTCAAGTTGCATGCTGAGCATTTCAAGTTTGTAGAAAGTGGTACCCACATGCCAGCTAGATCTATCTTCTACCCATTCGCTCTCGCCTCCTTCCACAGATACACCTTCCAACATCTCACCCACTTGATTTACTTCACTCCCTTCCGTCACTGACCCAACTTGTGTTCCCGCATCAGTGCTAGAAGAAACCCCTGTTGATCCTCTGACACTATTACTCATGGTTCTTCGCGTGCCACCACTTGGGGGTGACTTTCCTTCACCTAGTTTGGATGAGGAAGGTCCTCCATTAACAACTTTCAAACGATTTCGCACGCTCTTATCTTTCTCTGTTTCATTAATAACCTCTTCCTCTCCAGTCAAAATTTCTTCTTCTTCACCATCAACTTCTTCATCCCACCAGAACCGATCATACCAAAGACACTGTACATAAGGCTCCTCTTCTTCAGTGACCCTTCTCACAACACCTGTTATTGTGAGCCGCTTTTGTGGCTTATTCATTTCCTCAGTGTGATCGGTTGCTACGGCCTGCATAAAGATGCGAATATCTCTTTCAAATCCTGACGTCTTGGTTGGATCAAGGTAAAAACTAAATACTATAAAAACAGAGTTCCCAAAGTCTTAAGAAGGCATGTCCAACGAATTGCAGGACACGAAAGCAATACTAAAAAACCAACCTGGGAGAGCTTAATGGCAAACTCCAACGGGTGCACCCAAGCTAATGTCTCTGGGCCTCCCCATCCACCCAAGGAGCCCATGGACTCGGGTGATAATCCATCATGAAGACTTCCTGCAGCGCCTGCCAACTCCTCCCAAAACTGCTGAGAAACATACAGGTGACGATTGAAGTACACATTCAGAATCGGGAAGTTTCACTCCATGAAACATATTGACTAGAGATGATTTCAAAAGATAAACTTTAAGAATAAACATCAAGAACGCAAAGTAGTGCTCATGACGAACTTCCAAACAAATTCAAGTTCACAAAGATGATGCGGAATGAACAATCTTCATGAACACATTCTGTCCATAACCTAATCCTATTGAAGTAAACAAATGCTAGAGATAGATTGTATCTACCACAATAAACTTAAAACATAATGTAATTAGTTTTAGAGCTTGTGACTAACAGGTGGAACATCTTCTGGGTTGAACTCATCGTCACTATCCTCACTGAATTCAATGAGTATGTCATCATCATCTTCATCATCGTCCATAGCATCACTACCATCGTCCGCCATTTCAGACACTTGAACTTCATCCATCGCACCAAAACCAATCATAACCTGCCCTTCAAACAGCAAAAGGATCTATTCTAGTTAGACCAGTCAAGGCCCAGATTGGACTTTTGAGGAGCCAAACGTACTGTTCAGACAATAAGGCAATCACTTAAGTTAAGCCAGTCAGTTAGTATGAATCGCAATGTATTCCAGATAAAAAAAATAAAAAAATAAAAAAGGTACAACCTCGGTCTCTCCAGTTGTTTCGAGAAGAGTCAAAGGATCAAAAAGACCAATTCAATTTTCTGCATACCAGCTTTAGGGATTTCATTTCATTACTTCTACTATCTATCCCTACAAAGTTACTGACTTCAAAAAAAGGCACTGCTTGAACTTCTTGCCCTTCATAATGTCAATACACCCACGATTCACATCATCGAAAATTTTCATACCGTGAAAGTTTGAGAATCGGATAGTTTTGATAGAAATTCGTTGTCGTCGTTCATCTCAAAATAAAAATCTGAAAGCAACCGATTACATTGTTCAAATTAACTGATTATTTACCTCTTTACATTAGACACTTTGGAAGCCTGCAAACTTTGAAGTCTCAGATTCATCTAGACTCAAAAAAACGAGTTGCAAAATTGACACTAAAAGTGTATTCCTAATTTTCTTGAGCATATAATCCAACCGAATCCCAATTGTAATCGGGTGAAAGCGCTGCTAGTAACTCCAAATAAGTCTTCTTGTAAGTTTCCCAGAATGAAGCTTACGGGCAGAAGTATGAAACGACTAATCAAACAGATGGATGAACTTACCCCCATGTTGGTCAACCAAGAACTGAACTTCTGTTCCAAAAACTACATCTTCGATCGTAACAACTGAAGCGTAGATAACAGCCTTCCAATTGACCTGAAGAGTACAACGGAAAAGGAACAGCTACATTTGTCACTGCACTTGAACCAGCCCAATCACTGACCCCATGACCAATTGATTACTTATTCACGATTGATTCCTCAAGGCAATCAAAGGAGCGTGAGATAAACTGCAACGAAAAGTAACCTCAGTGATGGTTCTCGCAATATCAGCATCGGATGGGCGTCCATTGCCAGCTTGCATTGCCTCCCTCTCGTGCTTGGTCAATTCTTCCAAAGGATGGTAACCCCACTTTCCTCTTCGCTTGTGAGCCTCGGGTTTCGACCCTGAATGATCAGCAGCTACATTGACTTGCCATCCCTGGCTCCTTCGAACTACTCCAGATTGCTCCACAGGTTGGCCAGCAAACCTTTTCAGACAAGCCAAGAAGCGTGGAAGAAAATTGCCCTCAAAACCTTGTTGAAGTTTTAAATACTGAATGAGAACTGGCACAAATATCAAAGGCTTTCCAACCCAATGCGTAAATAAATATACGTACAATTACTAGAGAAAAAGAAAGAAAAAAAAAAAAAAAAAAAAAAAAAATGTCGGACAAGGTAATCAGTACCTACAGAACGTTAACAATCGAGTGGCAATAGAGCCACCGCAGAGCCAACGGGCGAAATCAAGAGAGACAGGGGCGTGAGAGGGGCAATACATCCCAAAGTCGACTATTGGTCTACAGTGCAGCTATGAGATTAATAGGGTAAAGACGCTACTCCTAGAGACACAGGCTTTGTTCCAATGAAATGAAATTACAGAAACACTAAGACTCACGTAAACCATGCCCCGATAACGACACAGCCAACCTATTCCAGCAATCACGAAACCCATGCACCGAAAATGCCACTCTAACACTAGATTCGTCCTCAATTCTTACATAGCTACACGAGAGCACCCATATTTCACACTCTAATACAGAACTTTAGTACCAGCTCCGCATGACTCCACCAGAAGAAAATCCACCCGCGCTTCCCTCCCCACCCTTCCATAACGCCGAGGTGGAAGGCAACGACATAGCCAAGGCTCCCGCTCCGCCGTCTACAACGCCGCACACAGCAGGTCCCGCAAAACCCCCCATGCCTGCAGCAAACCACTACTGCTCAGGATTATCCACACACACAATCTCGCCTCCAAAACCACGGGCATGGTCCCCTCAGCCCACATTTCCAACTTCCCGACACCAACATCCGACATGCGATCTATGAATCAACAGAGTCGAATCAAGAAACCCCAATCCGGCAACAACCCAACTCCCAAACTCCACCCAAACTCACACGCCACGGCCACTATTCAAAACCAAGAAAAAATTCCCCACAAGACCCCAGTGCACCATCAAACCCCCTTCGCACCAGGCCATCATCTCTCCTCACCTGTCACACTTGCGAAGCAGGAGGTGGGACGCACCACCATAGCCATGGCTCCAGACCCACCCACCGCCCTCGGAAACTCAGAAATCCAAAACACACCACCCACCAACACTAAAATTCACCCCAATTTGAGACGCCACATACTGGTTGTGCAGAATGGGCGGAGGGGCAGAATACAGTGTGGAAGTGTGCGTGTGTGCTTCGAATAGGCCGTGCATATGAATTCCCCGTGATCGAGGGCAGGGGACGGGAGGGCACAAATTCGATAGATGCAAGCAGAAGTAGAAGGAGGGAGAGTATCAGAATTGGTGTCCTGGGGGATCCCGCGGGGATGCCGCCTGCGCCCCTTTCCCCTCCAACGAGAAACGAGAGAGATAGCATCAACAATCTTCCTGCATGGCGTCCAATAGGGCCCCCCCCCCCGGCCGACGACGATGATGAAGAAGATTATTGCCGAACGAACTTGGCTTGGCTTAGCACACCCTTACCTGCCCATATGCATAAACTTCTACATATCCGGTCTGGAACCTTGTCCGGGTCTTTCGAGGGGTATATACCGCATTTTCGGGTATCAATGGACCTCCTGGTCTGGGACAGGGTCTGCTGCATCTGTTCACGTCTTGTTTTAGGACTTTGGGAGTGACTTTATGTGTTATTCGGTGACTTCCACAGCAGTTTTCTGTCTCATCGTTTTATTTCATTTTTTCATGTTTAATTTATTTTCTTAATCTGTTATCTGTGAAACATTGCATCACAATGTGAACAACACGTGGTTTGGGCCCAATTTCAACTAAAAAAACAATTATGATTATAGCTCATGACGTTCAAGGGTATATTAGTATTATCACAAAAGTGAGGGGTAGATTTGCTATTATCAAGAATTCAAGGATATTCTTGACATTTAAGCAAAATACAAGAATAATTATGATATTTTTCCTAGTTTTTTTAGATACTTCATTTACTTAGTCTATAAAATTAATTTTTTTTTGTTTTATCTAATCAAACTATGTCTTATTCTTTCAATTAATGTTATTTTCAATAAAAAAAATATATCATTCTATTATATAAAAAAATAAATAACAAATAAAATAATATAATATAAAACAATATTAAAAAAAATTATTTGAGTTTTCTTTTAAATAGGGTAAATTTTGACTTTGATGTTTCTATTTCACACATTGTAAGATCTAAATTGGATAATTTGAATTATAAAGCATATTTTACAATTTTTTGTTAAGATTATATTCTAAATAATTGAACGTTCTTATTAAATAAAAAAGGATATTTTATTTCATAATTATTTATTCATATGTGTACAGAGGGAGAGTATGAAATAATCCATTGAAATGTAAGTTAGCTCAATTAAATCAATTTGGAAATTTTGAAGAATCACTCCAACTAATACAAAAGCTCTTAAATGCACTGTTTTATCTAAATAACACTTCTGTCAATTAGAAATATATATATATATATATATATATATATATATATACTTATTTATTTATCAATTGGTATAGTACTAAATTAAAAATGTATAATACTCAAATATTTGTAATTTTTTTAAATTTTTGTTTTGTTTTGTTTTGTGGATGTTTGAATGTTTCCCAAAACAAACATAAAATTGATTTCTAAATTTTGGGATGATAAAATAAAAAATAGTTTTGAAATGGTGTTTTTTTTTGAGAAAATTCTCATTCTTAAGTCTAAAACATGAAATAATGCATTTAATGAAAGGCTTGATTCTAATTTACTAACACCAAACAAAATCATGTCAATACATAGATATATTTTTAAAGTAATCAATTGATTTTTACACAAACAAATAAATAATATAGTACATCTCCTAAAACAATATTTATTTGTTTATTTGCTTTATCATTATTATATGTGAAACCTAATCTGTTTATTTATTTAACTTTGGGCAAATTTTTACGTGTTTTGAGTAATTATGTTGCACATGTTTCATGTCAAAAGTCAATAAAATTCTCAACTATCAAAATTTAATGATTTAAAGAATAAAAAGCATATGTTCTTACTTAAAAAATCAGATTCTTTTTGAATCCTAAACTCTTACTTCAATTCCCAAATTCGATAGTCCTAATTAGTGTTATTGCACATTTCACTTGATCTTCTGTCATTCGTTAACACAAAACTTATTGGTAATTATTATGAGGGCAATTGTTACAAGAAATGGCAAGAATTTGTAGACCAAAAGTACGAATTCCTTATGGATTTTTATGCATTCTGCTTTTCAACGGAGTTAAACATCAAAATGGCTTTTGAACGCTTTGGGGAATAGTTCAAAACCCCCTAATGTGAACACATCCATGCATTTAGAGTATCACTGCCACGTGGAAAAATCGACACGTGGACTTGCCCTTCCCGAGCCAATTCTCTTGGAACACGCTACGGCCTAGTGGGATCACCCAATCGCATTCCACTCCCTGCACCGAGATTCCATGTCGAAACATGCGGGGTGTAAAACCGGATTCACACCGGAGACGGATTCTCGGTTATGGGCCATGAATGGTTCCTCGATTCACAGTTGTGCTGCTTTGGGCTTCGTTTGGTGGGCGTGGACGAATGTCTGTTCGTTCGACGCTAATTCGCCCGAAAAGTCATCCAAATATAGTATATAATTGCTCGTTGGTTTTAAAGTAACCAACAACTTTAGAGTTTGAGAACTTGGGAGGATATTTCCACTTCTCGGCAAGTCTCCAAAGGAAGCGAAGCCTTGTGATTGGTTATAGTTTTATTTACAATTCAATTCACATATTTGTCTAATTGTTCATGATTGTATAAACAATGGTATTTATATATACATATATATATATATATATATATATACATATTATATACTTAGTATTTTCATTTGCTATTCAAGAATAGACAATTTGGAAATAATGAATAGTAAAAGTCATGGTCGTACAAGAACAAAATGTTGTCTCTAAAAGTGTGGAATGAGAAACAATTCATTTTCATTTTGTTAAAAAAAAGACAACTTTAAGATAAAATTTGTATGTATGATGATGATGATGGTAACAACAATAATAAGCTTGTAACAAATTTTGTTTCACTTCTATCAAGTGAATGTATTATGTATTTTATTTTTATTCATTTTTATTCACTTTTATCAAGTGAATGTTTTCTCTATTTTATTTTATTTATTTTTACTTACAGTTTAGTGATCTTTATGATTGGGGAAGAAGGTGAAGGTTGCAACACTTAAATCTTGTAATTGGTTAACTTTGAAAAGCTTTGGAAATACTACCAAAAGAAGTCATGAGAGAAAAAAAATGAGGTGAAATGCATTATTACATATATATATATATATATATGTATGTGTGTGTGTGTGTGTGAGAGTGATATAAACAGTGTTATCTCTTGAAATTTACGTCATGCCATCCTCAAGTGGTAGTCTATGCAAAAAGTTGGAGAAATTTATTTTTAAAAATCTAATAAATTGCACTAAACTTCTTTTTTTAACTTTTTAATTTTTTGTATGTTTGTCAAATTATTGAAACCAATAATTTGTCTTATTTAAAATTTTAACATAAAAATTGATTTGTTTCGTTCCATAACTGCTAATTTTTTAATGTCTTCAAAAGCCAAAGCTAATAAATAACAAGTTCTCTTAACAAAGCACAAATATTTATTAGATTTCTAGACCAAAACTTTTTAAAATATGCTTTTATATACAGAAATTGCATTATTTGCATATTTGAAAGGTAAAGATATCATTTAAAGATTTATCATATATTCTTTATTATCTATATTTTTGACATGAATGTTCCATATATAATTTAATAAAGTGATGTTTTTAATATTACAATTATTTTTTAATTGAGTTAGTTCTAAAATAGTACTAGTTTCTATTGTGAAAACTTGGGATGTGACTTTCTTGTCAGAACTAATTTTTGTTATACACCAAAATAAAGACATACATTAATGTATACTTTTGATTTTTCTCCATTCATTTTTGCAAGCTATTTTTGACCTATAGGTCATATTATTTCTCTCTCTCTCTCTCTCTCTCTCTCTCTCTATATATATATATATATACGTGTGTGTGTGTATTTATATGGTTTTTTAGAAATACCTTCAGTAAAAGAATCATTTTGTAATTAAAAGTTTTCAAAATGAATTGAATGATTGGGACCATTTGGAACTATAACTCAAGAAAAATTATAATTTATTTTTTTCCAATATTATTATTGTTTTAATAAGAAAATAGAAAAAATATCTGAAAAAAGAAATAATATACAATTAAACCTTTTGTGATTTATACCCTTTAATTAATATTCTTTAGTTAGCTGATAATATTTGCTTGAACAAGGGTTAAAAATTCATAACCTTATTTTATGCACAATTTAATAAAAAAAAGTTGAAATTTTACAAAAATAGCAAGAAATTATGTCAAAAATTCTATAAGTCATGTGTTGATTCCTCTTGCAACAAATAGATGAATGTAGGTCGAATGAGAATAAAGATAATTTGTTTGTGCATTTATAATTTAAAATAAATGAATGAAAATCCAACAAATAAAGGATTTATGGTTTTTCATGTTCCTCCATATGTTGCTTTGTTACAAAGTTTGCGCTCATGATTTCTTGCCTCCTCACTGTCAATTTTTTTGCCTTCATTCTTCTAATGGTGAGACCAGCTCTGAGCCCTTGTCCACGGGCTTGATTACATTAACTTAGGAATTTGTTAATCCCCTCAATAACAAGCAAATATGATGCAATTAGGACTAAACATCTGCAAACGTTATGTGGGGCTTGGATTAGACCTAGTTAGACAGGCCCTCATAAAGTAGTTTACCCCGCTTGATTATTAACCTCACATGATTTACAGAATAAATCACCAAGGCTATAAATTGCATGGGGTACAAATGAATGACTATATATATATATATATATATATATGCATAAAAATAGGATTATACAGTTTCAGATTTGCACATAGTTTAATTAAAGAGAAATTGTATTACAATTTTTCTATGACAATTATTGTTAAACAATAAATCAAAGAGTTGAAAAGATGTTACTAATATGTATGTATGTATATGTGTACAAGACTCTTGTGAAGAATTAGCAAATGACAAAAAAAAAATTCTTGGATTGGATTATTTTGATGTAGTGTTTTTTTACAATCATTTTAATGATATTGATGATGGATAATCCGTTATCCACTAAGCAATGTATTAATGTATTGTATACAAAAATACTCCAATTACTATTTCAATGGTTATTTATAGTTGTTTTAAAATGGTCTTGTTTATGCATGTATGCATATCCATTATGTAAGACTATTTGGGTTTAACACAAAGAAACAAAGAAGCCTATTGATTGGCCGTGAAGAAGGAAATGTGGAGAAGATGAGAACAAAGGAACATGGGAACAATGGAATGGATAAATATTTGCTAGTATATATGTTTTTTTTTAATTTAAAATTTAAAATTAAAGACAAAATAATTTTATAAAAAAAAAGAGTACATAATTAAACTTTTGGAAGGTGTAATTCACTAAAAAAGTGATAATCTACAATAACAATAAATTTTATAAGAGATTTATTTTTGAAATACATTTTAAAAACTTATACCAAATTCCTGAATTCTTTTTTTGTTTACTTCTAAATTTTAGATATATATATATATATATATATATATGAAACCAATACTATATTTTATTTGATAAAATTTTTAAAGAATATGATTGAAATGATTTCAAAAGCCATACAGACTATATATTTAAAACTGTTTATGATATTGAATAATCTTTTAATAATGTGTTTTGACACAACTTAACCTTATGAATTAGTGGGTAAATTATAAAATTTACAATAATAAATGCTGTCTTGCATACACGTTTTCAAGCTTAAAACCTTGTTCGCAGATTCTCAAAAGTTATGATTTTCTGCTAAAGCTTATTTGATTATTTTAATATTCAGTGATATATGTCTTTGTGAATATATATAAACTTCACAGTCAATTGCTATCATATTTTTAAGAATACTGTAGAAGTAAATGTATGTTGAAATGAAATAAATTTAATTTTCATTATAGTACATTTAAATGATGTAATTCATGAAAAACATTATGTATATATATATATATATATATATAAATATATACATACAGAATCATTATATTGAAAAAAGTTTTATCATTGAGCAGAAATACATCATAATATTAATTTAATTTTAAATATTTACTACACATAAAATAAACTTAAAATTTCTGGGAAAATATTTAATTCCTACCATTAAATTTTGAACACTGCAGTAGTTTTCATATACCAACATAACGTTGAATGAAGAGAAATTACTGGAATTTTACTGTATTAAAATTAAATACAGAGTTTTTAGCGGTCATGTAAATTCATTTTAAAATACAGTTTTGTTACATTTTAAAGATTATTAACAGAATGATAATGGAGTAACAATGAAAGGGATTCATTTAAAAGAAAAGAAAAGAAAAGAAATGAAGTATTACTATTTATTTTCTCTTTAGGTTTTGAGGGAGATGGTTTGATTTTTTTCAGAGAAAAATAAGTGCCAATGGGGTTTAATAAAATGATACAAATGTATTTTCTTTAACATTTATGTAAATTTTTATGTTTTTTTTTAAAAAGAGAGTATGTATCGTACATATATTTCAATGATTGTTTTTATTTTGTCAAAAATAGAGAGTAGTTTGTAAAGTGTAATTTTGTGTAACTTTTTACAAACAATGACACTTACTTTGTTAATTTAATTTACAGTGCTTTAGTTGTGAGTGCAAATTAAGTATCAAACTTCTATTCAGATTGGTTTAAATATTTAAAATATAAAATTGTAGTTTAAAAAACTTCTTAAGGATTTTGAAAACAATTATGATGTAAATATTAGTATTTTTTGAAGTAGTTGGACACGCAATTTGCAGCTCCGCATTATTTTTATTATTTTATTTTACTCGTATTTAAATTTTCTAGAGTGCATTCTCACCACATTACATACATTTTCAAATATTAATTTGAAAGGAATATCATGCAGTATGATCAACAAATAATATTTACATTAAGGAGGGCATGATTATCAAAATATCTTTATGTAATTGATGACATAAAATTTAAAATTTGTATCAAACTTATATCAATGATGACGATGAGATTTTTTTTTTTTTTTTTTTTTTTTGATTATTATTATTACTATTTTTTAAACTGAAAGAAACCTTAAAAAAATCATGCAAATTAGTTTTGTACTAGAAAATAAAAAAAATATAATAAAAATTTATAATCAATCAATGAATAAAATTGTTCAATCTTAAAAATAAAAATCATGGAGTTACAATCTAAGAAGTATTTAAATTTTACCTATACACACACTAATACAATTACTCTCCATTTATCAATACACCAAGACTATAATAGCGCTCACGACGTGCACGAATCGTTTTCACGTCCGGATTGATATCCGATATTACGATACCCCGTCCGGAAGGAGGGTTTCGATAAAGGAGACACCCGTGGATACCAAGAGGATATCCGGTTCTCAATCGAAGCAGCAGGACTGGTGCCATGCTCCTCCGTTCCGCTGTGCATATTTTGCATACATGGGGTTGTGTCGGCTCCGCACCGAGTTCGCTTGTTCGTTGTTGTTGTTGTTGTTGTGACTGCGATTCCAGAGCATTTTGAGGACGTTGAATGACTGTGGTGCCTCCAATCATGGGTCTGGATGTTGAGATGAGTTCCCTGGACTCTGCGCCTCCGTCTTTGCTCTCTCGTAAGTAATCGTATCCATCTCTTTCCGCACGAGAGAAATTGCTGTTTCATTTGGTGTTTTGCTAGGTTTCTTTCAGCGATTGCCGTGTCTCGTATGGTTTCCGGTGCTTTAGGGTTTCTCCATAATTTAGGATTTCTGGTGGTTTGTATTTGGATTTGGATTTGTGTTAGTTAGGGGAGGAAGTGATGTTTTGGAAAGAACCAGGGAAAAAGCGTGTATGTTGCGTGTTGGGGTGTTTGACTCGATCAGGGTTCGTGGGATGGCGAGGGACAGCGGTGAGGCTTCGGAGTTGGATGATGCCTGTGGGATTTATAGCATCGTATTGATGTTTTGTTTTTATCTGATTTACAGAGCTGAGGGGAGTCATATCTTCGATTGAGAAAGGGGTGGCGAGCAAGGAAATGCGATTGATGGCTCGTGCTAATCGCCAGATGCTCGCAGTCCGCCGGCAGTTAAAACCATCTACTGTGAACGCATTTTTGAAGAATACTCTACCTGCTGGTTCTGATGCCTTGGCTCGTCTGTTGCCGTTCCTCGCTGCGGTATGCATGTTCAACTTTGAAATGGAATCGTGCAGGTAGAACTAGTGTTATTGTTATGAGTTTTAGCAGTAATTATGATCCATTGCTACGACTGTAATTGTAAGGCACTAGGCTAGGGCTTAGCTCCATTGTAGAGTTCACATCTCGATATACGCTGCAATTATTTTGTCGCTATGATTTTTGACTGCGAATCGAAGCGCTATCGTGAACTGTCTGTTACACCTGCATACAAAGTTGTGTCTTTTTTAGGGCAAATTCTGCTACATTGTACCATCACCCGAGGTAGTATTTATTGCTGGTCTTAAGCGCGCGATCGTCAAGAAAGTTGTCGATTAGGGTTTCCTTTTACCTTGCCCATGCACTCTCACATGCGTCCAGTAGAGGTACTAGTTAGTTGCTTCTCTCTTCTGCGATTTTTCAAAAAGGAAAAAGAGAAAGAAAATTCAAAAGGAGTTCTTTTTGGTGTTTGTTTTATTTCCAGGTTGAAAAGAGCGAGAAAGATATGGACGTTGATACTCCCCCAGCTACTGGACAATCCCCTGTTTCCCAGAAGCAGTCTGTGCTACCTGAAGTGGAAGTATTTTGCTATTTGTTGGTTACCATCTTCCTAATTGATCAGAAGCAGTTGGAAGTGGTACTTGTTTTTAACTTTGACGTTCTTTACCGTCATTTTTTTCGAGCTCTTTAGGTCACGAGTACAAGGTGATGAAACTATTTTCGAGGGTACGTTCTGCTTTTAGTACTACTATAGAAGAAGCTAGCTTTCCTTGCCATTGGTCTACTAGGGGATCGCTTACGATTGATGGGCCTGTTGTTGCAGGCAAAGGCTTGTTCATCAGCAGCTGTCAAAAGACTTCAGCAGTTAAATCGTCGAACTTTAGATGTTCTAGCGGCCCGAGTTTACTACTACTACTCCTACAGTTATGAGCTTACAGATTCTCTTGCCGACATTCGTGGGTGAGTTTCTATTACTAAAATTGAATGGGGCAGCTGTTGTCGAAAGCATCAAACTTATGTTTCAATGTAAAGTCATTTCTAAAATTGGGCCCTGGATATTTTTTCTGGCAGAATCTTACTTGCTTTACATCAGACAGCCACGCTTCGACACGATGAGCTTGGACAGGTCTTTTGTTCTTTTCTCATTTCAATGTTTCAGAGTAGCACTTTGTGAGTCTAGTGAGAAGTTCTGCTTCTTAGACTATCCATGTGTTTTGTATTTGTATGGATCGAAAAATTACAAAAATACTTGAGGCAGTTGTAGGGGTTCAGGAACGGATCCCTCCATTGCAGTTATGACCTTATTGATTTAATGCTGGTTTTGTCTCGGAGAGCAGGAAACATTACTGAACTTATTACTACGTAATTACCTGCACTACAACCTTTATGATCATGCGGAGAAACTTCGATCAAAGACTCAGCGATCCGAGTCGCACTCAAATCAGCAGGTAGGCGATGTCTGAAACCTTCCACATTAATTCTGTATCTACAGTGGATTGACTCAACTTTCCTCTTATGATTCCTTTGTTTGTGCAGCTCTGTCGATACCTATACTATTTGGGAAAGATTCGAACAATTCAATTGGAATATACAGATGCGAAGGAGTGTCTGTTACAAGCAGCGCGTAAGGCTCCAGCCAGTGCCAGAGGTTTCAGGATCCAGTGTACAAAGTGGGCAGTTATTGTACGCCTGCTTTTGGGCGAAATTCCTGAACGTACGACGTTCATGCAGCCAGGAATGCGCAAGGCTCTCCGGCCCTATTTCGAGCTTACCAATGTTTGCATCTGCACTAGGTCTTTTGTGTGATGTGTTTGTCGAAACTGCACCGGTTTCTGTTGTTGTTGTTGGCCACTGCCAGTACTTAATTCATCGTTTCTGGCCTTGATGATGTTACGATGACGCTGTTTCCTAATCGAACGCCTTTAATAGCTGACATGCCGATCTTAACGGTTTTTCGCGTGTTAGGCTGTGCGTATTGGAGATTTGGAGCTGTTTCGCTCTGTTGCTGATAAGCATTCGAGTGTTTTTACTTCTGATAAGAGCCACAATCTGATCGTACGTCTGCGACATAATGTTATTCGAACGGGACTTCGGAATATCAGTATTGCGTACTCTCGAATTTCATTAGCTGATGTAGCTACAAAATTGCACTTAGATTCTCCAACACCTGTGGAGGATGCTGAGAGCATTGTCACAAAGGCCATTCGAGATGGAGGTATTGACGCCAGTGTGGACCATGCTAAAGGCTGGATGCAGTCGAAAGAAACTGGCGACATCTACTCAACGCAGGTATATAAAATGGAAAAAGTTCTAGAGGTTTCTTGAATGCTAGGACCTTGTCATCTTTGGTTGTTCTAATTATAAACATAGTGAGAATTCTCTTTTGGTTTTTCAAATAATAGATCATTCATTGTTGTTTTAAAAATCCTATTTTTGGTTTTAATCCTTCTAAAATTGAAACTATTTCCTTTGTATATGCAGGAACCCCAACATGCGTTTCATTCTCGAATTGCTTTCTGTCTCAATACACACAATGAGGCAGTGAAAGCCTTACGTTTTCCACCGGATGCCCATAAGAAGGAACTCGAGAGTGCTGAAAAACGTCGTGAGCGTCAGCAGCAAGAGCAGGAACTCGCAAAGCACATTGCTGAGGAAGATGATGATGACTTTTAGATAATTTCTAGGTCCTTTGTGACAGACCAGATGATAGGACATACCAATTAGGATAGGATAATCATTTCTTGTAATGGCTCCTAGATGTGGCGATAACACGTGTCACTGCTGTCACTGCGGTCACTGCTTTTAACATGAGCAATGTGCATGAATTTGGAAGAATGTTGATAGACGGTTCTGGGTTTAGGAGAGGAGGCTATTCTCCCTCTATATTTTGTTTATTTCATGTCTTCTGGAAGTGCGTCACTTATTAAGTTCATATTATGCCGCAGGTCGATTATTTTCAACATTTTGCAAGAAATAACTCTTGAACGTGTTGTAAGACAGAATTTTCAATGCCACGTAATGCTTTGAAGTCAGTGGACTAAGAATCTGCACCGGGTACCTAATTTTGAAGGTGGCATTAGCAAACGAAAGGAGCATGTTCCACATTCTTGTCAGGCCTGCACAATCAGCTGGACTGCACCGTATTGTCTCAAATGCATCGTTGTCTTCTCTTGAAGGTTTGGAAAGATTGGTTTCTCTCATTTGTGAAGCTGGAAACCTCACAATTTTGCCAAGCCAAACAGTGTGCTTCCATTGCACACAGTGAAATTTAGGAAGTTTTTTTCTGTAATAACTTCGAGAAGCATACAGTTAAACCACGTATGCATCATGATCTGCGTGAACCCTGTATGACATGATGATAAGACAAGTTGGCATGGGTATGAAAAGGCAATGAATACAGATACCAGAATACAACTTGTAAAGTTTAGAAATGTAGCCTTTATGAGGATTTAAATGATTAGAAAGCTAGAGTGGACTTGGTATACAAGGATTAAATGGTGAAGTTTTGGTATTATTGCTTGGGCTTTAACATAATATATTTGTGTAGTTCTAAATTTGTAATAAGAAAAAGAATATGATGTAATGAGTAGCAAAATAGTCCTTATTTTGTGTAGTGTTCAAAGTAATTTGTAGGCTTTAGATGTAACCATATTTTTCACACAGAAATGTGGGAGTTATATTATCAAAAGAATTATTAGGAACTATTTGCTTATATAATTTATGTGATCAAATATGTATAAAGTATTAAATAAAATATATAAATAAGTATGTTTAAAAATTGAGTTGAATTAAATTAATAAAATAAATAAATAAATAAATAAATATAAATAAATGTATAACACCTTGGATATAAGATAAAGAGACAAAGATCTATTTTGATTGGCTTTTGAAAAGGGAACATGAAAAACTCAAGGAATACAAAGTGGTTGGAACCTTAGAATTCCAAAAACTAAATTGTTGGGACCTCAAGTTCTTTGCCATTTAGAATTGCAGCCCAAGTAGTAGATGGTGTACATGTCGTTATATTGTATTCTCTATTGTGAGTCAAAATTCATCATCCTCTTCTTATTGTAAGATTTGAAACTATCAAAGGATTGTATTAAGTATTAGCAAGATTAGATTGGTTAGATAACTCCCTTTTCATTAGTGCTAATAAAACAATTGATGTGGATTAATGTGAGCATGGGCAATGTGTGGAGTAAAGTGACACATATGTGAATGTAGATAGAGATTTGTAGGAAGAGAAGTGAAAATTATAGAGGTATGAGATGTATATGCATAATAAGGAAAGAGTTGGAGCAAAGTGGATATGTCGGTTGTGGAACTAATGAAAAGGTTGTATGTGCAAGTATATGAGGAGATTTACAAGTATCAAAAGAACATGGAGTTATTGATTCTTAAGTTGTTGTTTTAGAGATTGATATATAAGATCAAATAAGACTTCAAGGTTAGGGTGTATTTGATATGTGACAAGATTTGTTTTGATTTTAAGTGTCGGCCTCAATATAAAACAAAAGAACATATTTTAGTACTAGCAAAGCCAAGTTAATTCATTGCAACTTGTGCATGGAAGTAATGGTTTCAAAAAATCATACCAGCTAATTATGTTTTTGTTATTCATATAGTCAATCCATCTACAAAAGATAAGATAAAGAATTATGTAGAAATAATCATGACATAATCTTTGAGAAAGAAATAAAAATATAGTTTAATTTATGGTATATTAAAATAATGTACAGATGATAAATAAAATTGTAATGTACATAAGTTGGGATTTCAAAGTAAATGAACCTTGTATGATAATTTTTTATTATGAATGTATGGAATGCATATTCTTTGAACATTGATAAATGCATATTTTGTGAATATCTTATATTATATAGTGACACGTATATAACTCTATGCAAGAATTGGTCAAATCAATACAATTAACGCTTTGGAGCATAATATGTGAATTTGCAAGCATTTAGATTCTTAGATGGGAGTTAAATGGAATCTAAGAGCAAGAGATTTTTTTTAGTACTTTAATATCTTTGGGAAAATGATGACTTAGATTTGATTATGGTAGTTGAGCAATCAAGGTGATGAGTATGTTATGAAGTACAACTTGATTGTGACACCATTATAATAGGGTTATTTTTCCTTTCTAGAATTTTGTATGTTTAATATTCATAAGTCGAATATGCTTTTTAATAACTAGGAAAAATTTTCAATCTTAAATGGCAAGATTGTTTTGCTGAAGCTTGTCTTTGTCTGAACTAAAGAAACATTGTCTTTATTTTTTCCTTTGTTGTTGTTGTTGTTGTTGTTGTGAATCATGCACTTTTTGAAGGATTTTCATGAGCTATGTATGGAGCTTGAATACACATTGTATCCATTCATGTGTTGTGGTGATTGAATGAGGCATTTTTACTCATGCTAATACCTATGCATGGTTTTCATACGCATGTGGATAGTCAGTGCCAGCTTCAAATATGGATACACCACCATATTATATATTTTTTTAATTAACATTTGTTTTTGTATGCATGTGGACAGTCAGTGCCAACTCCAAATGTGTATATATACCAAAGATCCAAACTTTAATTGTTGCTTTATTTCAATCACAAGGTTTTATATTTTATCCAACAATATGAAGGTAAATCTTTGTATAAAATGAATTTAGATAAGATTTGATGAGGTCTAAAATGATATTATAACATGTCATCGAGTTTGCTAGTATATGAATCTTGATTACCTTTAGCAAATACTAATCTCAGCCAAAACAAATTAAATATGGTTTTATGTGTATGAAGCTTTTATTTAGAGTTAAAATATAATATATTCTTGATAGGTTTTGTTGAGGAAACAACCGCATATGCTACATGAATATATTTATTTTGAATTTGGTTTTGGATTTTTTTGGTTTTTTTTGGTTTTTTGGTTTTTTGGTTTTTTGGTTTTTTTTTTTTTTTCCCCCTTCTTTTGAGCTTTTTGTTTCTTTCTTTGTTTGTTGTGTGTATGAAATGAGGTAGAATTAGTAATTACATGATGGATCATGATTGTATTGTGTAAGTGTAAATAATTCAATTTGCTACCAAGTCAATTAATTATGACTATTCAAAACAAACATGAAATTATTTTGGAGTGCTTTTAGAACAAGCTGCCTATTTTTATTTTTATTTTTATTTTTCTAAATTGAGATATTTTTTGATTTCATATGATTTTGGCTAGTAATAGATATACTGTGTGCTTCCAGGTATTTCTAAATTCTCATTTTTTTTCTTTAATCTTACATCTTTTTGTTTCAAAGATTGAAGAACTTGCACCATAAGACCACTTTCTCCAATTGTGCTACTATTTAAATAAGTTCTTTAGTTTACATATGCAAGATATTGCAACTGTTGTATTAGTTTACAATAAATAATTGTAACTATTTTCAGATTTAATTATGGATGCAACTAATTTATAAGACACAATAATTAGAATTAAATATGGCTACTTCAAGACTCCTATGACCACCAATCATTCTTACTTGAAAGAATTGCAAACTCTTTTGGTTTTAACAACTCATCTTTGATATTGGTACATAAGACAAAGTTATCACCAAGAACTAGAAGTATTATATGGATTGAATGAATCAAATTTTGAGTAATGAATGATTTCTTGAACCACGAACAAATGTCAGTAGAGGCGTGCTTATAGTGCCAAAGATAGAACCATCTTCCATGCTACTCTATATGATCAAATCAATTCTTGGTTATTCTTTGTCAAAGCAAAAAATAATCTTCTTTTTATTACAGTAATATGTAGATCATTGAGAGTTGCAAGATGTATAGGAATCAGAAATAATAAATAAGTAGATGAGTGCATTTATAGCATGTAGCCAAGATATATAGGATATATATAAATAAATAAGTGTATATATAGTGTGTAGTTGGAATATAGGATATAGGCCATTTATTTTGGTGCTAAGAATTTACTATTATTTTGGAACCAATATTGATCAATTAGACCTTTTATAATAAAGTTATATAATATTTAATTAAAAAATCTATGAATTGAAATAGAAAACATTATATAATCATATTTTTCATAAGCAAGTATAAGTAACATTTGATATATTGTTCATAAATTAATGTATTTTTTCAAAAATAGTACTGAGACATATACTTTACATTCATTCTTTTCATTTACAATCAAAGGGCCCAAAAAAGTTGTTCTTCTACAATGATGGTTTATTTTGTTAGTTTAATTTAGATTGAAAAGATTATGAAGATATATTATTAAAAAATATGAATGAAAGTTAAAACAAGAATAATTGATAAATAGAGTTTATATCTTTTTTTTGCATGAATTTTAAAATTTATAAAAATAATATAAGTATTATTATTTTTAGAAAAATATATTATTATTAAATAAATAAATAAATAAATATTATTAAAAGATATTATTATCTAAAAATATTTTTGAAAGGTGAATTTTTTGCTTTCTTCGTAGCTAGTATATCAATTGATAATTATTGAGCTATTGCACAACAAAGACAAAGAATGCATGAATGTATTGAGTGACATGTACAAGCACATGAAGAATAAAGAAGAAAATGATCAAATGCCTTAGATGGAAAAAGAAATTACTTAAAGAATGTTGCACCTATATGAAATTGTTGTGTAATTAAACAATTAAGACAAAAGACATATGAATGTAATAAAGAACATAGAAAAAAAAAAGAATTAGAGGAATATACTATTATGATTAATAGAAATGATGGTATTTGAAGAAAAATTATTAAATTTTTGAATCTTCAAATAAATATATAATAAAGGCAAAGGATATGGGAGGAAGCAATCTTACTTACAAAATATGAAGAAGAAGCAATAGAATATGATAGAATAAAAAAAATTAATAAACAAGTGGAATAACTTTCTTATAAACATCATAATAAAAGAGAAATATTCAAAGGTTGTTACAATATTAGAAT